TATATATATATATATATATATATATATATATATATATATATAGCCTTAAATTAACCTTCTTTCTTCCTTCTCATAAAGGAAATCGTTTATAGGGAGCGCCTTACTCTCTCTCCCCCTCTCTCCGTTTCTTTTTTTCCAAGATACTTCGTTAACTCGTTGAGCGTCCCACAACGAAGAAAATTTTCTTTAACATTATGCTTTTCCATCTAAGCTTTCCCATTATTTTTTATTCGTTCGACGAATTCAAAATGATTCAAGGGAATCCTTCCTCAAGTAGAAATTCATACTTCATATTCACGATTGTATTTTAAAATCTTGCGACAATTCTCCTCGTTCCCGATCTTTCTATGTTTAATCTTATAGATAAGAAAATGAACATCCAATTGTTATTCATCGTCTTGTTCTTCTCTCTCGCACAGGTAAACTATTCGGCTGATTGAAGGTGAACTCTAATACCAATTATATTAAGATAACCATGTCTATAAGTGCATACGACAATCGTCTACGTAAGGATGAAGATTTGATTGAAAATTCACGTGAGTCCACTAGCACTTTCCCATGAAATTCTTCAATTTTTGAAGCTTTCTCCATATCTGAGCCGTTGTTCGGGGCTGATCCAGCGATTGCCATCCCACCTCGTCGTATAAGATATTATAGGACAGGAGGAACAATACTACTGGGATGATGTTGAAAGTCTGTGGATAAGAACAAAGCGAGTCAACAGATCTCATTTTTTTCCATCATGTATTGCCACACAAACCGACTCAATATATTAAATAGATAAACATCTCTTATTTAGTGCTCTTCATATTACTTATAATTAATTAGAAATGGAAACTTACAAAATTTTTCTATTACAAACAAAACATAAAGGAAGTCCAGCAGGGTTTGGATGTTGCGAGAGTGTGGGAGTTCCTGAAAATGAAAAATAAGATGGAAAAGATGAATAATTCAATTGGTTTTAGAAAAAAATAATAAAAACTAGTTGTTATTTCAACTTTTCGCTCCTTTTATTCCTCATTCATCTCTCTCCTGTCCCTTTCAAGCTACCTCAATTAATCTTTTTTCTACAATTTTCGGATTTCATGTTAATCTTCAGATGATCTATCGTACCATATTAGTAATGACGAATAATTTTGAAATTTCATACAAAACGGAACAAACTTTTAAAAAAATGGTAAAAGTAAATAAACCTCGTTGAGCTTCTTGCTCTTTCAACAAGCGTAGTGTTTCACTTCTTAGATAACTAGGTTGATCTTGTGAATGTGCAGGAACTCTGAATTCGTTTTGAGAGTAAATTTTATTGAAATTAAAAAATAGAAACTAGTTTATGAAAAGGATAAAAGATATCAACAGATTACTACTATTGCCTATATAAAAAGGTTTGGAGAGCCAAAAACATTCATAATTTTGCCCTTCTCTATTGCAATTTGAATAACTCGAACAAAATGAAAATACTACTTTGTTTTTGTGTGTCAGCTTTAAGTGCCTATGCTCTTTCTAATGAAACTCAAGTCATTTCATCGCAAGTCATTGAAGATAAGAAATATAATGAAATGTTGATTACTGAGGTAAGTAGAACTTAAACTAAATGTTTTAACATGTTATCTTACAGCTCAAAGAGATTCTAAACAATGCAACCATCGATAGTTTCGATAAAGTGGTAGCCTTCAATAATACTATTGAGAACTTGAGAGGAGATTATGAAGTATTTCAATGCTATTCAAACCAAATTTTAATCATAGACCACCTAGGAAAAGTTTATCAACATTCTGAATGAAGCGAAACAATCCATTTCACAACTCGATGGAAGGGCACGAGAAGCTGCTGAAGCTTTTTATAATTTTTTCGAAAATGGGGGATTTTTCGAAAATCGAGATGTCATTCATGAATATGTAAGATGTTTTCTTACTACATCTTATTAGAAATTATTTTCAGATTACAAGAACGATGGGAAACTTGACAGACAATGAGAGATATTATCTGAATCAGATAGCTTCAGATTTTGGCGAGAAATTCTATCGTGGTTTTCATTCACTCAGACCGGCAGACTCAATATTAAAAAATAGTGAAGAATCAAGTGAACCAGCACAACAAATTATTAAAGACGAAAATGGAAACTCAGAAGAAGTCCATATCGATGTGACGAACAACTCAACGATACAGGAACCTGTGCTGATTGAAGAAATTCAGAAGAGCTCATGATCATTGCAAAACTTCAGAAGAGCTGCTGATTAAAGTTTTAATAATAATAAGTCTGTTTCAAAATAAATCTTCTTGTTGATTTGCAAAAGTTTTGAAAAAGAGTATGGTTACTGTTATGAGCGTGTACATTAAATATACTGCACTCTATTAAGCCTTCCCCCCCCCCCCAACATATACTGACTTATCAGCGAAACACAGAGTTTTTGTCTTTGATGAGATTGTTGAAAATATGGAACAGTGAGTGAAGCGCATTGAATAGATTTAAATAAAACAAAAGTTTGAAAAGCAAATGTTGCAAGATAATTCAGATAAAGAGTAAAAAACTAACCGTGGTGTTTCTACGTATCCGGTTGTTTGTTGATTGTAGCTTTCAGCTACATTATCATTTGAGTACAGACCCATGGGAGAATTGTATTGTAGGTGTTTGACCCGAGGATCAGCTTGGAAAGGCAGAGCCGATGAGTTAAATCCTGCAGGTGGTTTACTCTAAAAAAATTCGAACATCAGGCGCCTCAAAGCAGCGAAAGAAGGAAAAAATTTGAAAAATTAGTAGCTTAGAGTATTCAAGGAGAAATTCACTCACATCATTACTATGTTCTAATGACACTTTGAATGGACGATGACTATCTCCAGATTCCTGTACGTCCGGACGCCAAATTCGTGTCTGCTGTTGTTGCTGCTGAGAAGTCTGATTCACTGAGGCAGACGTATTTGAATGCCTAAAACATATTAAAATAATTCTTCACATCTTTCAAAAAAACTGAAAAACTACCATGGTTTCGGAGCTGCAGTAAGAACAACCATTTTTTAGATGAACACACGAAGAGAGAACAAGAGAAATATATGATGGTGAATAGTGGGTATGGAAGTGTTCAAGGAAAGATAATAGAATAAATGATAAAATGGGATGAAATTCCAATAAAGTGAACGCCTAAGGCGTATACTATATATGGCCTAATTTACATATTATCATTCACACGAATCAGAAAATTATTTCTATCTTTTAGAACAAGTGAAAGATTTAACAAGAGAATCTGACGAACTAAGAGAGATAGCGACATTTCAATTTCAAGTCTGTTACGTTTTCAAAAAGGTAAAGAGGTTAAAACAAGAAGAAGAATGTGATACAGAAAGATTAGGAAAGACACATTTCTTGAATGAAGAGGAGGAATAATGAAACGATTCAGTGAACGAACCTGTGAATAATCAGTTCAATTCGATCTCTCGATGTAACCAGCAGGCGATCAACAGCATTAATATCCAAATTATTCAAGCCTTCTACACCTTCGATCTCATCACCATTACGCAGCCCAGCTCGTTCCGCCAATGACCCTCCGACAATCTTAATTTTCAGTTTACTTCTTGTTACGATTAAGAGCTAAACGACTTTTGGTCATTGAAATGTTCGGTTCTATCCCTTTTTATTCTATTCACATTTCAAAAAGATGTTCAGAGGAACGATCATTCCTCTGAAGAGAACTAAAACAGGAGAATCATGTAAAAACTCACGTTAACAATGATAGCTTGACCCTTAGCTCCTTCAGCTACTCCAAATCCCCAAGGAATGTTTCGCTCCCCACGAGCCATTCTAACTGTTACTGTTTCCATCTCACGCTGCCACTCACCAATCTTTCAAGAACCTGTAATTAGAATGCTAATAAGTTTCTATTATCACAGTTTTTCAGAAGTCCTGGAAATGGAAGCAATGTTGAGAGGTTAAATGTGAACAGAAATAAACGATTTTGTAGTAAAATCATTCGATTTATCAAACAAATGAAATAATCGAACTTCTAATGGATACGAATTATTATTGATTGTGAAATACAAAATACAAAACACTGAAGAATGAAATTGCTATGTCCACAAATTTGAGAACATCTTGACAATTTTATTCAAAATTTGAGGATTTTACAACTCAGCGAAAACAGATTCTTCCTGAGCTTCTCTTGTTGAGCTCTCATTCATCTCCTTCTTCTCTCGTCTTCTCATTAGTTCTTTCTCATACATTGGTATAATATAAGATAAGGAGAAGTAATGGGAAAAGTGAGGAAATTTCTCTTCTCATTTACGTTCACTAGTTTTATCTTCTTTCAAGAAGCTAAAAATCAAAAGAGGATGAACAAGACAACTGTTTATAACACATTTGTTTTAAACCCTTCTTCATATGTGCATATTATATAACATGCTAGGTAATCTCTTCAGAGAAGTTTTTCTCCATTTTCTCTGAACTATCTCTCATTTTGAGCTATGTAAATTCTCACGAAGCGCAGGAATAATTTGGAGAGTTCTTTCATATGAAGAAGGAAACATTCAAAAAAATTAAAAAAGCATGATGGAACGAAAACATAAGCACGAAGGTTTCAATAGAACGAAGGAAGTGCGCAGTCAGACGAGTTGCAAGTTCGACAAACAGAGGATATGGAGTGGAGAAGCAGCCGCAGAGCTGAGACACATAGCTTCTTATCTTCTCTATTCTCTTATTCTCTTCAACTTCATCTATATCTAACATTCATCTTCATTCTCAGAGCGTTCAGCCGTCGCTATCCCTCCCACTCCCTCATATTCAGAGATTTCACTAATATAATTTTAAAAATGATAAAAGAAGTAAGAAAGTGTTTGATTTCTTCTTCAACATTTCTTAAAACTCCCAAATATGATTCGACTAACTGGGATGTAGCAGAAAACAGAATCTTCATCTCAAGAACACAATCCGCGAATGTTCCACAATACACTGAACTGTAAACCTGAAAAAAGAATAAACAAGAAGTAAGCTGAAAGCTGCCATACGTTCGCCTGTTAAAAAAAAACATTCAGCTATGCTGTCGCGATTCGGCAAAGAGAGCATTTTGTGAGTTTTAGCCTCATTTGGAGTATATGTGTCAATCACTTTCCCTTTCAATCTTTTCCATTTGCATTTTCGTTCTTACTGTTCCTGAACACTGTCGAATTGATTTCGATTATCTCCGTCTTCTTCATCTTTATTTATTTGGCCTTCACAATCAATTGTTATGTAATCCTATCCCCTTTGTAATCAAACCTTAACCATATATATATATATATATTACTTTATGTATCTATCATGTAACTAAACCAAGCTCATTCCTTATTATTTTTCCATTCTTCAAAATCAATCATTTATGGCATCGGATTCGAGTTTCCTATGTGATCGATTGATTAGTTCTGTGTAAGCAAGGACATTTTGAAACGTATTTGCCAGCATGATCACAACTTTTATGAAACTTGCCTTTGGCATTTATTGTAAAGCTGCAACACTCGTTTGTTGTTCCAACAGTGGTCGGTTTCCCTTTTCGGAATCAAGATCGAAGAAACCTTTTTTCTGATTCAAGGCTTCTCCTATTCTCTGTTTGTCCACTGTCGTTACACATATGACAGTTTGCGCATAGACTCATCATTATCATTTGAATTATTGATTTTATGTTTTTGTAGAAGTTGCATTCATTTTAAAATACGTTGTCTTTAACTAGTTGTATTCTGTTGAAGAGTTCATGATCTAGTTCAAAATTAAACAGTTGCAGATAAAATGCCTAGTAGCTTAACGTATCAGATGGAATTTTCCCAAGTTGCTCCTGTTCTCTTATTATTCGGAATTTTATTTATTTTCTCACTTGTATGCATTGTGGATTGGTACCGGTCAACTAACCAGGTAGATGGCTTATCATCATACCTTCATCACTCACGCAAGAATATTGCTTATCTTCCGTTGTCTGAAGATCTTATGAACTTACATGGTGCAACGGAAGACGAGGTAATATTGCTCTTTAAGACTTCCTTCACTTAATTATCATCCCGGAAAGATATACTCTTCTTAATAATAAAAGCATAGCTGCAACTATAGCTCATACTTAGATCCAAATACTCATCAACTACAATTATATAAAATAATCTTAGGAGGAAGACTTCATGTGCGATTCTCAACCAATGGCCTCTGCTGATAATAAAGAAGTCGAACGGCATTTTACAACCATTTAGATCTATATGCTTCATATTGCTTAAACGGGTAAATGTATGTACACGTGTTTCGTTTGAGAAGACTCTCAAACATCAGTAACTTTCCCAGAAATCATGTTCCGATCTTTCTATAGCTTTGTAAGATAACCCATGATTCATAACATCATAACGTTTTTTATATTCAACCAGAGATATAAGAACCTTTATTATTTTTTACAAGTTGTTTTATGAAAAAAAAACTAAAATAAAGAACGTCTACTGAGTTGTTAGAACGCGTTTGATATGTTCGTTTATTGGCTTGGTAATGAGCCAGCACTTGGCACATACATCATTGAAAGCTTTCGCTCGGCATTGTCTCCACAGCATGTACGCACCAACGCAGCACAGACAGTGTATGGATCACAGTTAGATGATGGACGGCGATCCTCGAAATAACCCTGAAGAGAATAAACATTTTCTTCAAAACCGAGTTGAAACATACGCAGCCATCTTCTTCGGTTGAACGTGGGATACGGATAGAACTGGCGCGAGAAGCAACTCCGTAAGAGAATTGATCGATTTGTGCAGTTTCGTGAAGACCCGTAAGACGTCTCTCGTTGTCTTTTCCACCATGAGGATCGTAGTATGCGATATGTTGACGATGAACAAGGCTGAGCTTGTTGATAGCAGTCATAATTTCATTAATTCCTCCAGAGGCTCTCATCTTTTCGGTAGAGAAGTTGGTGTGACATCCCGCTCCGTTCCAGTCTCCTAATCGAGAAATTATATATCATTTAGATCTTGAGAACATACCCTTGATTGGTTTACAATCGAGAGAAGCTATAACTCCGTACTCTTCGGCTACTCTATGAAGTAAATATCTTGCCATCCACAGTTGGTCCCCCATTGCGACTCCTTCAACGGGTCCAACCTGGAATTCCCATTGAGCTGGCATAACTTCAGCATTAGTTCCAGAAATCTGGATTCCAGCGTATAAGCAGGCTCTATAGTGAGCTTCAACAACGTCACGTCCGTAAACTTTATTGGATCCAACACCACAGTAATAAGGTCCTGAAGAAAAAAAAACTTTTTCATCGAGAATAATCTTGATACCTTGTGGTCCTGGGAATCCATTCTTTGGCCATCCGAATGGATGTCCATCACAATCAAGTAAGGTATATTCTTGCTCCATACCAAACCATGGTTTCTCATCGGCGTACTTGGTCATGATTTCGGCACATCTTGCTCTGTGATTAGTATCTGGAAATTTGAAGGGAAATACAGTTGAACAAAAAGATTAACTGGCCAATCTTTGAATTGTTTACTTTTTTACTTTCTTATCTTTTCTTTCGAATACTTAAAAATAAACTACTTCGAAAATTTGAAAAAAAGTTAAAGCCGATTATGTTGTTAATATATTTGAATAAGTTCGGAAGATTAACTAACGAGTAGGTTGTTTCTTGTTATCCAAGGTTTCACATAAAACCAGCTTGTTCGCTCCACGTCTAAATGGATCCGGGAAGATTGCTACTGGCTTCAAGTAAACATCAGAGTCAGCTCCTTCAGCTTGACCGGTGGAAGAGCCGTCGAAATTCCAAATCGGTAATTCTATTATAGAACAGTTAAGTAGAGTCGAGAAAATTCCAATAATTATTCAATGAACTTTGATGAACCATAAAAATAGATTGTATAATCAGTTGTTCATATCAATTTACTAAAGTCCATAAAACATCAGAAATTCTAATAAAAAATCTGTGCGACACTCCCAATGTAAAAAAGTGCTTATCACTAGCACTGGTCATTTTGAGACAATCTTGGACAACTGTCTCTCTGATGAACACATTCACTCAACTAACCTTCAGGGCAAGTTGGCTCGGAATCAATTGTACGGCTTTTACAACGAATGTTCTCTCCACTTCCATCAATCCATATATAAACAGCTTGAACTTTTCCGCGCTGATCAAGGTCCATAAACTTGGTGGCAATGGTTTTGTCGGTTGCGAATTGACTACGTAGATGTTGCGCCATTTCTGCAAGTGAAAAACATTTCTTAGTTTACAAAAAAAGAAGAAACGAAGAACTACAATAAAGTGATTTCATAGAATCTTCGTTTTCGAAGGGTCTAAGAATGAAAATGTGCTGACTGCCCCTTTTATTCTTATCAGATTATCAGATTATCAAATGATATCGATAGTATACAAAAACTAAAACATTAACTGACTTCGAAAACAACGGGAAAAAAAATTCTCAAGATCGAAAGCAAAAACTGACATAAGAGAGCTATTGCTGAAGAGAGAGAGAAGTAACATTTGTAATGGACTTCCCATTTGTCCCTCTGTTGTGTACTTTATTGTCTTTGATCTACCCTTCTATTTCTGTTAAGATGGAAATTTTGAGAAAAATAAAAATATTGATAATATAACTTGCCCATCAATTCTTTCTTAGTGTAAGAAATAAGAGAAGAACTTGTTTAAAAGAAAATATTGTTTAGATGATGAAGTAAGGTTAATGGGCTATACAGACATACGTATTGCATGAGATGAGAAAAGTGAAGACAAATGCAATGAGAACTGCCATCTTTTACAGATGTTGACAGTTCGGATGAACAACATTCTCATCTTATTAGAGATTTCCCATGATGAACCACGTGATCGATCTCGTGAATTTTGGATTTTTGGTGATTAGGAACTAGCAAAACAACCGTTCATTAGATGATTAAACTATAAAATAAAATTAGCATTTCGTGTAAAAACATTTCACGAGTATGAGACGTCAGAACGTACTGACCATACCGTTTTATAACAAGTAGAAGCCCCGCCCTCTGATGCTCGATCATCAATGATTGGTTGGAAGCCGTCGTGCTCACAATATTTCTTCTTTTTTAAAAAAAAAAGATAAGCTAATGGTTCCTCTAACGACTTCTGATACATAAATAGAGATCAGGACACAGTAAGAGAATCGTATGAGAAAAAGAAAAAAAGAAAGAGAGAGACAGGGAGAGTCTGAGAGGTAAGAGAGAGTAAGAGATATGAAAAATAAGAAAAATAGAGAAGTACTTTTAAAGTTAAACTTCTCGATTAACATTATGATCTGACTGATCTGGATGGAAACACTAAAAACCGAAATAGATGCTTAACAAGTTTTACGATTCTTTTTAATTACAATCACTGTTGAGTGTCAATAAATAATTTTCCGCTTCAAATCTATATTTCCAATTGTTTTGTAAATTTTTGTTGAAACGAAAGTTTGCAGATGAGAATTTTCTTCTTTTTCGTCTGAAATAAACAAACGATATGGGGGTTGATAACATGATACTAGTCGTTAAATCAATAAATTATTGTTAATAATATTAATAATAATGTTGATTTTCTTTATTTGATCATCAACTTAATCAACGAAATGTCTTATTTGATATAATTGTTTAGTTTTGTTAATCTGTTTGAACGTATTAGAAGAGACAAGATTGAGAGAAATATTTTTAATATTTACGTTTATCGATGAAGAAATTAGTTGAAGAAGCCAGACTAAAAACTAAAATGTTCTTTTTTTTTTGCACACGTGAAATACTCGTGTGGTTTCGAATTCTTTTCTTTTGCTTCTTGTATTTCTTTCACACTATTTTTCCTCTATTTCTCTCTCTTTTCTCTCTTTTATCTTTCTCATTCTTACTCTCTGCTTTGCTCTCACACTTGTGAAGATCATGTGATAAATGATTGTAAGTAGGTTGCTCTGATAAAAAGAGGGTCAAAAAATGTAATTTAAAACGAAACATTACAGATCAAAATGTTTCTGAAAGAGAGTATTGGTTTTATCATTCCTTATAAATATGATTCGGAACCTTTATTATCTAAAATAAGGACGAAGTGCACAAAACAACTTGAAGATAATGAAGATGAGAAGAAATAGATTTTGCTTTAACCGTTAGGAGTTCTTATCTGTTTGGTGGCTGGTTGATTGCTGCTGTTGTTGTTGGATTTTCAATATCATTTGCCGCAGTTCCTCAATTGCTTTCGCCTTTAATCAAACTACAATTTCGAAACTCAGTGGAAGATATGATAACCTGCATGATGATATGATTTTTAGCCAATAGCAAGGTTGCGATTTTACTCAATTTGCGTACAGACCCTCCATGAGCATAAGGAATGACAGAACGGAGATCATCTAAAGCTTCATTTAAATCATGCATTCGACATCTTTCTCTCATGTTAATTGATAAACGGACACCAGCTTCATCTGAAGCAGCATAATCACGAGACATATCTGCAAAAAAAATAAAACAATTGGATACATAGAATGAAAGGACGAAAGAGAGTAGAAGATATGGAGAAACGGTGGCAAACAAAATGATTTCAATTGTATGAAGGAGAGGTAAACATGTTAATCATATTCATAAATACTATGAATAATTACTTTACGCAGAGATGAATATTTAAAAGGAATAAATGAACTATATGATATTTAAAAGTGGGCGTTGAGCTCCATTCTTCTTAAGGATTACTGTATCCAATCCTATGAGAGATGCTCGTGTCACGAAAAAGATGAAAAGATTCTTGACATGGCACATTGAGAAATGACTTGTCAAGACAAATGCGATGAGACAGCTTTGTGATTAGAATAACAAAGACCGGAAAGAAAACGATAAGGAGTAACCGTCAAAATCGCAATATATTCAAATCCCTTATGCTAATTCATTCTTGCTTACCACGTAACAAACGGTTAGCATTTTTCATTTATTTTGTAGGAAGTGAACGGTTGTGGCTAGTTTACTGCGCGTTTTCTCACTTCATAATTATACAAATAAAGATTCATCCGTAAAAGCAACAGATTGTTCGTTGAAGCTCAGCCATCTGTCATCTGGTTGAAGAAACCATATACAGATCTTAATCATCATATCCTTAAGCGGATGTTATTGTAAAAGAGATTTTCGCCATCATTGTATATCATAGAAATAAAAAAAAAACTTTAAGCACCAGTCAACAACAAAAAGGATTTTGAGCATATATTATATACAATTCATAAAAGGAATGTTGAGGTAAAGTGAAGATATGCGGCTTTTCATTATTAAGAAGGAGAAAAATGTTTCTTGAGTAGTTATAAACGAGTTGATTGTTCTCTTTTCATTTCTTCCATATTAACATATGTAGGTTCATCAAATGAATCTTTCAAAGTGTGGAACACATCCGAAACGATCAGACTGTCGCTAGTTCCGAATGGATCTATTTCCTTCAAAACAAAGAAAGATGTATAATATAGCTCTCCTCAAACCTCTTGATATCCTTTTTGCTCCTGTTGATTATTCAAGTAGCTAGGACCCACATCTACATCTAAGCCTCGAGCTCGTAATTCGTTATTTAAATAATTTCTGAAAAAATTTTTTTTAATGAAAATTATAGATAAACTTCCGTGTTACTCACTCATATTGACGGAATCGCTGTTTAATCTGCCAAGAATACTGTTGCTCTTCCATTGATAGAATACGAAGAAAATTCTCCAATTCTGGAACTTCAAACGCATCCCACTGTAAACTTTAATTTTGAACACTTGGAAACTAATTCAATGTCACCATAATGTCACCCGTATCATTTTCTTGTAAAACAAGAGTGGAAAAGGAGTTGGTTTCAAACCAGTTCAAAACAACTCTTAAAGGACAAACATCATCAGCCACTTTCACCAGTTTACCTTAAATATAACACATTTATTACAACTAATAAAATTAAAAATAACTCACGCATCAAAGTGTTTTCGTCAGAAGCCAAAGAGCTTTCATACAAGGCGAATTTGCGTGGATTGTCTGCAACGCGGAATTTCCTCAATAATGTTACAATCATTTGTCTGAAAAAAAAAAGTTTTTTTTTAATGAATGAAAGATATATAGCACAAACCTTGTAGTCATTGTACTGTTGATGTTTATTGTTTTAACAGTATTTCTTGGCAGGAAAAATGATGTGATGGTTCGTTGCTTCATAGTCGAAGTTCCTCAAAAGGGTTATAGTTAATTGATGAACATAACAGGCGATTGCACAATTTAGAAAGTCTTCATGTTTTTTGTGGAAAGAGAAACTCTAATCAAAGTGTATTCAATGGATGACGAAAAAAACCACGCAAGTTCAAAGAAGTATTGAATACAAACGTCCGGTGTTTCAGTTTATATTTATTCTGACACTTTTTTTCTAAATACTACCTTTTTTTATTATCCATCACCCCAACTCTTTGTGGTCCTCAAGCTTTGCTAATCTTACTTTTTCCGTACACTCCCTCTCTTATACCTTGAGTACTGCTTAATAGCATAGAAATGATTGATTGGCACCCGAATAAAGTCATCTGTGTTCATCTCATTCGTACTTGAGAAGTAAAAGCTTTCATTTAAGCTCAAAGATACTTTATAAGCGTTTCGTCTTTATTGAATATCCTGTTGATTTCTCCCTCGACTAGTCAATTGCGAGTTGCTTCATTTTCTTTCATTCTCTCCCCTATTAGGTTCTAGCTTCTTCACTGCGGTAGCTAGAAATGACTCAGAAGGTTATACTGCGCTTGATCTCTAACAAGAAAACTATACTCTTTAAGGTTGACACTTGGTCGTCTGTGAATCACAAACAAAGTGAAAACGAGAAGAACCAGGTACTGTGGAGTATCAAATGTGTGTATGAATTAGTTTAAATTTGAGCAGGAGCAAATATGTCAAATAGCCAAGCTGATATCGGCTCATGTCTCGGAAATTCTCATTCAACGGCTTAACATGGAGGAAAAATCACAGGTTTCAACTGTAATGAAGTACTTACTTCTTTCGAAAAAATAGAGTATTTTAAGAAGTATGGCTCTCACAAGGAGAATCCCAATAAACGTTTGTTGCGCCAACATTCGTTTTCAAGTTATTTCACTACTTCGTTTCAGAATATGCCTCCAGTCCCGAGATGAAAAATAAATATTCAAAACAAAACCGCCGGGCACGTTCGCATTCTCGAAATTCAGAAAAAACAGTTTGATGCAGCATTTTCTTACTGTCTTTCATTATGACTTCAGGGGAATATTCGTTTTCATAGTGAATATCGACTGAATAGGACAACCCGCCCCACAGCAACACCATTGGAGAATCGAGCCTTTCAATTGAGACGGAAGAGTTTAGAAGCTCGGAAAGGTTCAGTTAATCTTATTTGAATCAAGCATTCGCTTTCTAGCCAAACTCGCATCAGATCTTACAAGCTTTTGAATAGTTCTAATATGTAATCTAACCTGTGCTTCTGACGTCATAGACAGATGGCGGATTCTCCCCAGCTACTATACTGATTGGACGAGTGAAATTCATATGAACTTGAATATGTCCAGAGAAAGATTTAGCATCTGAACTCTGTAAAAATAACATGTTTCGCATAGGTTTTTTGAACTATATCTTACCATAACCAATTGTGACCCTTCTTCTGCAGCTGCATTGAATGCTTGGATTTTCGCTGCCAAGTCGTCATCTTGATATTCTGATGTCCACTCATAAGGTGTATCTTCTTTGACAAATAATTCTTGAACTCTCATTTGCTGAAAACACTTATGTTTCTATTTTGCTGTTATTGAATGAACTGATACTCTGCCATTCTGAGCTTGAAAAACAATTGGTTGTTTCAGAGTAGTTATCACTGGAGCGAACGCTTTTGGTAGAGTCTTAGCTCCCGATTTTACTATTGAGAACAGATGATTCTGAGAGCTCGATGTTGAAATCAACAAAAAAAAATCTAACAACCTCAACCGAAATGCTTCCATTTCGTTGATCCAGTTTGGACTCCGATAAACTTTCCGCTAACTGCTGCTTCAAGTTCTCGGGAATTGTTCCCAATGTACCGTCATTGAGCTTTGGATATATTGAGTCATATTCTCCTAGAATAATGCCCAATAGTTCAATACGTCACTTTTTTTTAATTAATTCAAAAGCATGTAAAAACAGTATCGTATAAAATCAGAATAACTACCTGAGTCCAAAGATGAACCAGCTGATCTACAATCGAGAGTGACAAGCTCTTGGCAACGTTGATGGCATGTATAATTACACTCTGGAAAAAATGCTTGTTTGAACTCCGCCGAATAATGTTTTTCAACATACTTTCACACTTGACAGCTTGTCTTAATATACCCCAAATGAAATCACCACATTTGTCACACCATGTAGGGTGGAGTAGATTGATACATCTAGATAAAAGAAACAGTATAAAATCTTGTGTCTCATTCATACTGAAAAGTATGTCCTTCGCCGCGATGAGCTTCCCCTGGTATGACAAGATCACTCAAAGGTCCGAAGTGCTGACGTTCTAGCGTGTCATTCCACTGATGTGAAGCGTCTAAGTCGGCCAATAAACAGGTGTTCCAATCCCAAGACTGCAAAAAAATTTTCAAAAAATGTTTCAAAAATATTGGATGTTTACTCCATAATCAACTTCTGGAGTTTGCGCAATCTCATCTAATTTGATGCTTCCGTAGGATATTACATCTTCCATTGTTTCCAGACAATCATTACAATCATTATTAGTTTGCACAACCGCTGCCGAAGTTCGACGCATCTACAAAAAATCATTTTCATTCAAATTTTTGATTTATAACTTTATGTGAACTCACGGTCAAGTTATTCGTTTCACCAGGAGAGTTTCCAATCCCTAGCTGATTCATCCACTCGCTTATGCCGGTTAACTGGGATAACTTGGCTTTAATTCCAGAGAACCAACTGAAATAATAACTGTTTCTGAGCAACAAAACATGGACATTTTGCACAGTTTGCAACTGAGAGTGATTGAAAACCATATCATGAACCGTTAATATGAACGATTTCTTTTAAAATAAAAAATGAATAAGGTTGAAGACGTAATCCGTCGATATCAGTTAAACAAAAAGTGAAGTCGAAAAGTTTTTAATGATCATAATAATGGATATCTCGACTTAGGAACTTCTTCAATGGAAATTAAAACAATCGGAACATCAAAATGGGTTAGCAGATGTTCGATAGGAAACCCAGCCATTGATCGGCTGCGAATGCATACGCACACACAGCTGGGGTTAAGTAGGATGGAACGAGCAAAAAGTTAAAGAAAAATGATGAATAAAGAGCGATTGTGAGAGTTTTCAAAAATAAACAAGAAGGAATCAATTTTTGAATGAAGTGAAAATGTGAGAAAACCTTAATGTTCAGTATCTCAATAAAATGTGAGCTCAAAGCAAAATCATTTAAAGAAAAACAAAAATTTAAAAATAAAGTTCAGAGTCGCTGTATAGTAAAAGAAAGAAAGAAGGAGTTTATGAGAAACGAGATGAAACAAAGAAGAAACTAAATCATTTGATGATAATCGATTAGAAAATTGATCGAACAACAGTTATCATCATCACTCCCAAAAATTTTTAGTCGAGCCATTTGCCAGAATTATAAATGAGAAAAAGAAGATATTTCATGTTATTTTTGTTACTTTATTTGTTTATTCTCATTATTATTTATAATAATAACTGACCCTCCATTATTAGATTGGTTTGATGTGGACGGTGGATAACCATATGAATACGTTTCATCCATCACAGCAAGGGTTCAAGGAAACAAGCTCATCGCTCTGACATCGTTGCACTAAAAAAAATAGTTAGAAACAAAAAACGTTCAAATAAGCGATAAGCTCTAAAATGGCAGAAAATCCAAGCGTTGCAAGAAAGGAAAAATAAAAATCAATAAACATAAAATTAGAATGATTCTCACGCTAACTACGAGATGTCAGCATATTCATTATATAATTACTATAAAACGGTTGCTTTTTTATGAATCTTCGAGTTTCATTTTTATTGATTGATGAGCGAAGTGTGAAGAGCATTGAGGGAACATTAGTACACGAAAATGGATCATAGCGGCAGTTCGAATAACAATGTGATCGTTCAAGTCAAGGTTAAATTTTCGCTCATTCAGAACTAAGGTAAAGTGAGTAAGGCCTACACGATTATTACAGATTAAGTTATGTTGAAATTAAAGAAGAAGTCATCATAGTTATCTTGATATTCAAGAATTGAGTTTGTGCAGCGAATAAGGCGTGAAAAAGTGTTTAAGGAGCTATTCGCATCAAAGGTTTGCCAAGCTGGACTAAATGCTTTTGGCTATATTCCACGATACTAGCTTTACGGGACAGCATGCGGAGATTTTGAAGAGTTTTTAGCATCTGAAAGTTCAAGTAACATCAACAAAAAATGTGAAACATCAACTGTGAACATAGTTTGATTGCTTTAGCTGAGTAAAGGTTCGAAAGCAAACAATAGCTGTTTTATATACTCTCTATGAGTTTCCATGTGACGCTAGCAGATCTGATGGAATACTGAACAGTTCTTTTCTTACGGAAAGCTTAATCAGCATAAAAATGTCAGAAACATTAGAGAATTCCGAATTGAAAACTTGAGAGTAACTTATAGCATTTGGTGCTCCACGGGTTTGAGCAGCTAGGCTTCCATTTTGGTTGCATACAGTTATATTGATCGCTAATGACTACATGAAGAGAGGTCGAGCTGAGGTCTATAGGTCAGTAAAGCGTGAAACGACCAGTCTCTTTCAGTAATAATCTGCATGACGGCATCATCATGAAAAAAAACACTATTTGAGATCAGATTTTTTACTTTTAAGTTGTGAACAGAACTGTGATCAAATAATAACAGACGAATATACAATTTTAAGAAAAACCATCAATCAGAATCATCTTCATCACTAGACATAATCTTTTTCTTCGTGTTGGATTTTCGTTGGTTTCTCTCCTGCAATAATAATTCATGAACACAATATGCTGAGTGAAACCGACATCTTCCGAGTTGGAATCATCTTTCGCAGCATCCAGTCTTCTTCCATCGTCACTGTCATCTGAATCCACACCAATGAGAGGAGCATCATCTCCGCGACGACTTCTTCTACGGCCCTCATCATCTTAAATTAAACAACTGTACAACCTCCCTTCTCTTCTAATATACCTGAGTACATGGTGTCTTCCAAGAAACCACTTGTAAGAGGTCTATTACGATCTCTATTACGTGCTGCTCTCTGTTGATTTTCTTTTCGCATGGCAGCTCTAAGAGACTCTTCTTCTCTTTTGATAGCTTCCTAAAAATGAGGATAAAAGAGAGAATTAAGGCATCAAAAAATTACTCTTTTAGCTTCATCGGGGTTAACTCCCACTTCCGTGAGCATCTTAACTTGACCTGTTTTTCTGGTTCGATCGGCCATATTAAGAGTAACCTGAATATATTCTTACATAAAGTCGGTATAATTTTTAAGACAACCTTCCTATGGGTTTTACTATCAGTAGAATGAGGACGAAATTGTAATTTTTTCTCAAAAACGGATAATCCTGATAATCCTGATAAGTGCTTCACGTAAAGATGAGTATGTGCATTTACAGGCATTTCTTGTACATCAAAAATTTCATTACCCAGATGTAAAGACATACTAAAACTTTTTCCAATGAATTTTTTCTATACTATCAAACTGAACCTTCCATCCGACCATCTCACCATTTTGGCATTACTTTCCTTCAATTCAACGCCATTGGCATCTTTACTATATCGCCATCTTAGGGTATTTTCAACCTGATAATAGTTTCAAAATATTGGCAGTTATTATTAATTCACTTTGAGCTTCAATCTGCTTTTACCCTCGTTGTCAGTGGTATCGTCTTCTCCATTCTCTTCATACTCATCGGGATCAAAAGGCTTAGTTTCTACTGATAGAAAATTGGGAATCTATGATATTAACAATATTTAAAGAACTGCAGGGAAAAACCACTTTGCAATAGTATTGCTTTTCTGGATAATATAATATAGAACTCGTAATAACACTCTGAAAATATTTGATAATGTTTGACAAGTGAGAAAAATTACCTCAATAATTTCAGGTGGAGCTTCTTCTTCAGGTTGTTCCTCGTCATCAGGGTCCGGATATAGCCGTATTCCGTGTATACTCTCCTGACCTAATAACCAATAATGAAACTTTTTGGAATTAAATTTTAGTACTTACTAGCATCACTTTTTTCATTATCGCTCTCTGATTTTTTCACATTTCGCGCATCGCCTTGAGCATCATCGTCTCCAGAGTCAGAAGAAACATCATCACCAAAAAGAGCGGAAGCATCAGGTTTCTTGAATAAGAGTAATGAATTTTACAATACATTACTTACTCTTTCTGTGTTCTCTTCATCCCCTTCCTCATCAGAGCTATCGATTAATCTTCTACCGGTTGGACGCACAACAGCAGACTCTTCATCATCATCGGATCCTCAAAATGGTATTTACAACAGGGAAGTTGCTATAACACAAACTTTCCGCAGGTGGAAGATCTACTCCAGGCGAAGCGGAGCGATGAGAAGGCGTAGATTCGCTACCACTCCCCGAAAATAGGTTTTGAGCCCTGCAAACTTGTAAATGTGAAGCTTAATGTGAAAACACAAACACTAACCCAGTGTTTTCATTCTCGCTATCACTTCCTGAGGAGTTGGATGATGACATCACACTGAAAGAAGTAATGCTACTTTGAAAAAGCGAAGAAGTTGTTAAAAGAAACAAATTTAAATACCAAAGCCATGTCATGAAAGATAGCTTTAAGTTGATATATGGCCAAAAATTTTGAAGCAAATGCTTTTTGGTCCCGCAACGATTAAACCCTTTAAGTCAAATAGCGAACCGAGGTCAAGCTGAATAGTTTGAGTTGACTACTACTTGACACGTAATCAATTATTTAAACTATATCGAAAAAGATAAAAGTATGGATGAGAGTAACTCGAACGGTTTGGTTTCCAGGAATAAAACTCAAATCGATTATTTTCAGCGAATTTAGAAACTATCAAAAACAATAGTGAAGAAGACACGAGTAACTTAGTACCATATGTAGATTTCAATTGCGCAATTTGTGGACTCAATGAGAAAGGGTTTTTTGGAAATCTGAAAGCTTCAGACGGCTTGTTAATCACTTATTTTCTTCTTGTTAGTCACTTATTGAATTTTTTAGTTATCCTTCGCCCGTGTTCTATATGAAAGACCCGTTCATCCCACCTGCCCGTGTTAAAGCGAGGAGGCCTGTTTTAGCCGATTACTTGATAATGGGAGCAGCATGCGGAATGTGTGAACAATCTGTTTGTATCAACAAAGTTATCCAACTTTGTTATCATTATTGTTTTTGGTGTTCAGGCGTGCAGTATATATTTTGGAGGACATTTCTGTGCCACATGCTTGGTCAGAGAAAGAAGGAGATTTCCAGCTCAAGTTTTGACGGTAGTTTTCCTTATTCAGTGTTAGAGTCATGGTTTTTAGAAATTACAAAAAGCTCAAGAGAATTTATCCGTAGAACCGAAGTGATTTGCTGGAATCTTGAATTCGGAGAAACTATATTCAAATTCGTTCATATCTCTATTCCAGATTTGCACAGAACCGTTGCATTCTAATAAGAACTTTGTAATCTTTTCTTTGAGGATATCACTTCGATCAATATAAAAACATCTTTCATATGAAACAAATTTATTATGTAACCAAATCAGATCACGATATCATGGAAAATACAACTTCCACAAAATTCTGTTTTCACAACAAATCTCGCGTTGGTATAAACAAAGCTGTATCCAACACAAGAATTAACTATAGCCTTCGCGAATCAATCTATCAAATAATAATAATAATATTTTGAATTGGATATTATGCAAGCATAGTGTCCAAATGGGTTTTGTCCAGAGGAGAGGATGTACCCGTAGGAATTTCTTCTCAAGTTATATTTGTTCACGTTTAAAAAGTTAAAAGAATTGAAACTAAGGGAGCATGCATAGTACGGGAGAACGACTATTGCCGTTAACGGGAATTGAAAAAGCAAGAGATGGCAAGAAGGTTATAAAGCACTTAATCGGCCTTAACGGCTCTTCTCTTAGCAGAAGACCTGGTAACTGCTCCTGAAGAAGGAATGTTAGCGTTAATGTCTTCTTTAAGGGACTCAGTCTGAAATTGAGATAATAAACGATGTTCTACCGAAAAGAAACTCACGGCTTCAGTCTTCTTGCTTTTTTTGTCAGTAACGGTGTATCTATTGTTTTTCTTAACGTATGCATGATAGAAGAAATTACAGAAAAGAAGAAAGTATGTGAAATAAATAGTGAAGCAGAGACCAAGATTCTCCCAAGTTTGTTGACAGGCGCCACCGGCATTCTTAAAAAAAAATTGACCCAAGATGAAACCTATTAATATACCTTAATATTTCTAACTGTGATTCCTATAGCGACACCCATCACCATTTGCGATATTTGCAAAATCGTTATGATCATAGCAACCTGAAGAGAAGATATATTTAGTTAAAGCCACATCATATATACCTGTTTCGGGGTTCTTATTTTAAGAGCTCTCAAAGCGTAATAAGAATACATGAGAGCATGAACTCCATAATTCATCCATATGAACCAGCGTCCTTCAATTAAATAAATTACAAGAAGTTTGCTATAAACTTTAAGAGAAGATAAAATTTAACATCTCAAGTCTATCGCTATAGTTCTTTAAAAGCAAGTTTTCGGATAATTCGCTCTCGGGGAAGCGATGACAAGTTTTCGCTAGTGAGATAGTGACACGGGAAAGTTCATGATTTTGAATGGAATTCATACAAAAGTTTCAGCTTACCTGAGGCAGTATGATCTTTATAAGCATGCCATGTGTACACCAAGACTGTAATGTGATGATACCAATGAAGAAACAGAAGAGGTTTTTTTCTCAGAACAATGAAGCCTGTATCCACTAGCTCTGCTACCTAACTTGAATAATTTAATAATATGCTCATCAAGGTTTACCTTGCTCATCGCAAATTGTTCTGTCCAAAAGCCTGTTACTCCCTGAGCAAATGAAGCCGTACATACTGAATAAGCGAAGGAATTTCTAAAAAGGAAAATTGTTTCAAAAAGATTGAAATCTTTGAAGATTCTAGAAATATCCGATGAGAAATCAACTAACCCATGCCAACTCCAGAACCACTCAGGTGTCATTCTTACGAATCCCAATATGGAAAAAATAGCCAATCCAGCATTCCAGAAAAACAATTGCGTATCCAGAAGGAAAGCCTTACGACCTTCCATAATCTAAACAAATCCTTAATGAGGAATAAATTAATTATATACCTTTTGTCCAGCAAATATAGCAAGAACATAAGCGATGGACCAGACAACTGAATGAATCCAATTTATTTGCATCCACTCTGTGGATTTTACAGCATCAAAACTATCTTCCAAGGGCAAGATGAAAGAATAGTTTTCAGGTCCATAACGTGGCCAATAGTTATATTGCGCCATACCCACAACTGTAAAAAAGTAAGAGTACGAGTATTGGGTTTACAAATCAATAGAAGCAAGCGAAAGAAGAAAAACGGTTTGGCTAATGCTATGATATCATATATAATTAAATAAAATTAACATAGTTAAAACGATAACGATGCAACTCTGTTATCACAGTGTTTCCTAAATATGATAAGAAAGAAAGTGAGATTTTCAATTCCAATTTTCAAAACTAATCACCATTGAAAAAACTCTACAAGACAGAAAAGACGAGTATCGACAGAAGCTAAAAAAAGCGAAAAAGCACTAAAAAGACAAAGAACACACGCTGCTTTAGCTTATGAACATCTTATAGTAACAAACAATACAATGAAGAAATTTCGTAAACTAGATTACTTTGATGAAAGATAGATTAATATCTTTAGAGATAGTGGAGTTGAACAAAACGAAAAGAATAAACTATGCACTAGTACTAGAACTCACGGCAAATGTGAGATGCGTTCAGAAACTGCGAAAGAACACGGTGTAGTAAAAATGCTAATCAGTAATTCATCGAGATAGCTGTGAACTTCCAACGAAGCCATGTGTGGGTAGGCCCCAAAAAGGAAGGACAATAGTTGAAAGAATTTCTACGATTGAAGAATTTGACCATAGAAGCCATTGGTCATTTCAAGTTTAACAGGCAAGCGCTTAGTGCGTCTAATGGTGTATGAAGAAACGAGATAGTGTAACAAGCCACAGGTGTTGTAAATCTTGAAAATCAACGAATCGACAGACTGAGATGGTGAGACCTGAATTTACTGTCATTCGAAATGAAAAAGCAAACTATGTGCCATCATCATTCGTAATTCTGAAGATGTGCAGAAAACGCGATAAGAAAGTATTTGTGACAACAGTGACAAAAAACCTAACAAAAGAGATTGTATAATGAATGAGTTTTTGAAATAAACCTAAGAGGAGAAGATGCCGCATTCCGTTTCTAGGATAAGAATAAAAAAAGCTAACGGATATTTAAAAACATGAGGAAGTAGACAGTTTCAGGTTTTACCTCTAATTGAGAAAAACGAATAAACAAACGAGAAAACTATTAAAGAGGCGACCAAGTGTTACTCAAACATAAGGAAATTGAGAGAAGAGAGAGAAAGAAACAGCTAAGGACAAGAGGAAAGTGAAACCTAGTAGACCGAGGTCATTCAAAATGGGGTCTGTTGCCATCAATCCATAAGGGTCAGGCAGATTTTCAAATCTGATGTGTGGTGAGGTTTGCCGGAGCAAAATAGTAGAAAGACCTAGCTGATCGATGACAGTTAACATATAGAAAAGCTATTCGTTCTGTACATAATCATCATATATAATGATTCATATTTATGATAATCATAAAGCAAACTTAAAACCAGGTCCAAAATAAATATTCCATAGACAGTGTACAAGGCGGTCTTGAACTTTGTACGGTTTTTAGCATTGCGTTCTTTCGGCCAGGTTGTAGGATAAAATATAGGCGTATTTTTTCTCAGTCATTCATCTGTGTACTGGATGTGCACTGAAGCCAGACGACGTTCAATTATGGTGAAACTTAATGGAACGTTTTGAAACTTTTTAAGTTTTTCATCGTTCAGGTTGCATAAAGAATTCGAGAATTTTCATCAGAGAATACAGGCATATGTGAGGTAAGGCCGGAAAGAGCTAACGGAAAAAATTTTGTCGATTGTTTTAAAAGTGTCATTGAGTATTGCTCATCGAACTTTCACCTTTTCACATTATTATCACTTCTGTACTTTGAAGCATATGCTTTCTGAGTCATTGGTGCTGTTTATCTTCTCAAATCCTTATCGTTCAATGAATCACTCGAGATGGCCTGATGACTGGTGATACTGGAACCGCACTTTTCTCTGATAAAGCCTGTCGGTAAGAGAAGGTACGCAAACATTCGAACATTTCATTTTATGTGCGAAAGAGAAACAATATTTTAATAATAATTATTATTATTTGATTGAGCAAAAGAGCAAAATAAATCAAATCGAAAGTTATGAACTACTAGAGATATGTTAAAAGAATAATAACGAAAAAACACTCGTAGTTATTGAGTTTGTTACAAATGAATTCAGAAACCCATTTTTCTCACAAAAGGACAAAGATTGCATGAGTAAGAGTGATTTGAAACTAGTTCAAGATAAGGAAACATTTCTTTGATCATGACATGGTTTAGCTATAAACGAGTGCTAACACAACAAGTCTTCTCAAAAAGTGTACCAGAGCTATGACACATAAATTCAATAGAAAGAAGGTTTGTTCTCGGCGAGATCAGTCTTTTTATAAACGACTATTATATTTGATTTGCAGAGATTTCTGAATCATTTTTTGCCAAAATCCAAATACGATCCTGTTTTAACTCCTTCCGATTTGGCTACCACTTTCTGAGAACAATAACCACATGATAAAGCACAGAATTCCTAGACAACACGGCAAGATAAGGATAGAAGAATTAAAATGTAACTACTTTCATGATTTTTTCGAAGAAGAATGAACGACAGCGATCCAGCCATCTCCAGCAGAGATTCGTACGATCTCGACAGTCTCCTAGTGTTCACATATAAAATAATTCATCTTTGTGTGAGCATACCTTCTTCACCAGAAGTAGTGATTATGGGCTCCATTGGAGGCAGAGGAATATTTGGCGCCGGGGCTACTATTATAGGTTTGTTGACTAGGTTAGCCCCTGGCAGACTTGTTTCTACGGAGGCTCCGTTCATGCATTGATACATCAAGTTCATTTTGAGGATATCTACCTATAATTCCTTTTATTAGTAAATCAGAGCCTTTTCTGCTTCCTAATAGCTCAATTCATTCCTGAACTCGAGAACTTACTGGGCTAAAATCTATAGCAGCGCCAATTACATTGGTCATCTCAGGTCTTTTAGCAATCATAGTTTCATAACCGTTTTTTGAGAAAGCCAAACTGTCGTAATGCATGATCGAATAGTAGTCGTACGCCTAGAGTGTTTAGATTTGAAATTTGACAAAAAAAAAGAGAGAAACCTGTCCATAATAGGAGCTTTCAGTTAAATCCACTTTCCCAAACTGATCATAAGCTTCTGAATTTCGGAAAAGATTTCAGAAAAAAGCGAGACAATATACCTCGATCAATGTTATGCCATAGAATACTAATGAAATTATCTCTGTCCCACCGTTCATGTTCGTGATAAAATCCAACAGAATGCATCAACTCATGAATAGCGGTATCATACTTGAAAAAACGGAGGTCAAATAAAAAAATAAGCCAAATTAGTACTTGTAAGCATCCATCGTCTAAGGAAAGTTCTTGCCTACCGCCGGCCCTTCCAACGTCAGAAAAACATCTAGAGTACCATAGTACAATTTCTTCAATAATTTTTTTTATTTACCCATCTATTTTCCCGATGTAAAGATAATCATTGTCAAAAGCTGTACGAGGTTCAAATCGTATGCAAGTTTTTTTTTGATATTCCTGAACAATTAGAAGAATGTTTGGAGCAAGATTGGAGTAGTGTACCTGGAAACTTCTAGCAAGGACAGCTCTTTCCCTTTCATTATATTGGTTGCTGATCACATATGGAATGCGCCCATTTGGCCATTTTCGTATTCCAGTTATCACTCCGTTCCTTCGAGCACCTGCTCTTTTGGTCTTCTGAAAGAATGATTAAAACCTTTTGGAAAATAGAAGAACAAATAAAACAAAATTCGAAAAAAAACCTTAAATAGAATTGCTTGTTTCAAATTTTATTAGTTTTTTAGATGAACGGAAATGGTGAATAACCGATTAATCAACTTTGTAAACTTTCACTCAAACTAGATTGAGAGATTATTCGAGGAAATAACAGATAAATCATAAAAATTAACTGGGGTTATGATGAGAAATACAGGAAACTCTTCAACTATTCTCGAACAAAACATTTTATAAACCTCCACACAATTCGATTTTCAGTTCGAAAAAGAAGAGCTTAAGTTACTCGGAAAAGCATGTAGCCTTTCATCCTTTGCTTAGAAATCACTTCAAGGGAACAAGAGGATTTATATAACAAAAAAAAAGATCCTAACAAAAAAATTACCAGTTGCCAGGCAGCTTTTCCCCTAATGTCTCCTAATCTCCACTGTTGGTGTGATAAAAGGATTTTAGCAGCGGGTTCACTGTCATTTCGGAGAATATCAGCATTGTTGAAATCGTCATTGGTGAGAAATGTCCCGTCATCTGAAGCGTTTACATAATTATTCTAATATTCTCTGGATATTCGTTGAAAAAAATTTTTGTTTGTTTTTCTTTCCTCACTTCTTGACCAGTCCTTGGGACTATCTAAGCATTCAAGATAAAGGAAGAGGCCTGGAACTGAAGGAAAGAAAAACTTGATGGAGATAAGTTCATAATATCATTTTGCAGGTTTACCATCCAAAGGTCTCAAAAAATCTTCATTCGTTAGAAATTCCACCTGGTCATCTTGAGAGAGCTTAGATTCTGAAAGCGCAGTATTATTAAAATAGAAGGGGTAAACAGACATAGAAATTAAAAAAGGTTAAACATTCGTTTTTGTTTCTCGTATTTGTGTTATGTGTCTTGTTCTTTTCTTCGTACTGTCACACGAATTTACAGAAGAAAAGGACACAAGAAATTTGAAATAGTTCGAACAAAAAAGAGAAATCTTTATAAGTTCACAGTCTAGCAATGAAGCAAATTAGTAGAAATGATGGAGAAACTGCGAAATGGTCGCTTTTTTGCAGAGTGAAAGTGAGGCAGAAGCCAACCCGAAAAATGAAAACAAATAAACTCACCAATGATATCAGCAAAGAAAACTATCAGGAATACACATGTCGTTTTTTGAATTAAATTCATCTCACATACATAATTTATCAAAGATATATTATACTTTTGAGTTAAGAAGATCAAGAAACAATCTGTAAGCACAGAAAACTCATTTCAATTTTTTCAAAACAAATACTCACCTATAAGTGCAACGAAACGTTGTCTTCTAATCTCAACCTTCGAAAGAACTGAATTCTATCAACTCTGTTCCTGCCCAGCTGAAGTCCGGTGATCGTTTTTTGAGACTACAAAGGCGTGGCTAAAATTCATTCATAACTCCGCCTCTTACCGGACGACCGGCCTAGATCTCCAACAACGGTCGGTCTCGTCATCACAAAAGATTGCCAGCGGCAATGCTCATGAAAACCGGCTGATGACGGCATACGTGTAAGCCGTTTTGTCCTCACCTCTCTCTTCGATCTCTATCTCTCTTTCTCTTTTTCATTTTTGTATTCTCTCATTCTCTAATCATCCGCAATCCATATTCCAATATTTTTCTTCTTCTCCCGCGATAAATTTCAAATAAATACTTTTTTAAACGCAACAGAAATGCAACAAGTGGAGTATATCGTTCAACTTTAGAGTGAAAGTAACAACAGAAGATTTCAATCTACAGGCTTTTTGAAAAGCTGGCGATCCAAAGTTACTCGAGAGCTATTCTGGGATCGTAAGAGGAGCTGAAATTATTATACTCCCTGGTTCTAAGATGAACTTATCAAAGACAAAAGACTTTTATTTACTTCGGACAATAGGAATATTTGAGAACATGTTCCATGAAGTTTTATTCAAGGATACTTTTCGTCTTCACCTATCTCATTCTGACAGAAGCATACAAGCTTTTCTCTCATTTAGCGTCAAACGAGAGTACTTGAGCAATAGAAAAGAGATCAGTGACCATCATCTCATCTATTTCTTGAGCTTCGAAATGCCGATAAACCTAATTTTGGCGTACGAAAGCGTACGCCAAAGTGTAATTGGTAAGTATAATGAGAATGAGAGTAGCCTGGAACGACTACTGAAACCAACCAACGGAACAGATAACCATGTTTTTTTTCGTTTGTCAGGGGGTGTCATCTTTGAAAGAGAAAATCTTAAGCGAAAACAGAGACCAAGTGTCGGGAAAACAATCTGTTGTCCTTTCTCCATGCAAGCCAATTCTTCTGAAAGAGAACGGTAGAATAGACTCATCCTTCTCAAACAAATACCTGAAAACGTTGCCGACTGTGCAATATGGTCATCCTTCCGAAACTCGAAACCGGCAAGTAGACCGGTTGACATATCGTCTAGCGTTGTTGGGCGGAGAGTTGAAAAGAATTTAAAAACATGCTTTCACCTTTTTTTCAATTAAAGACCAACACCCGATTTCTCTACACTTAACTTCAAGTAATTTGAACTCTGAACAATCTACGAAAACAAGAAACTCTTCAGAAAGCCCAAATAAGCAAAACAGGAACTCAATGATGATGAAAATCAACTCTCGACAATTCATACACCAAAATTAACCTAAAATCCTCTTGCGTAGTATGAGTAATGGAGATAGATGTACATATCGAAAACTACAGACACTGAATTATCACAAGTGAATGACGGAGTGTAGCTTGAACAGGAATTTATAAACTTCAGTAGAATAACTAATAATAATTTATTGTGATTAGAATGAATATTATATATGAAAATTAGAAGTTCAATGATTCGTCATGTTCGGTGTATTTATACCTAAGGAGCAGAACAACATTATCTCTGCATTACATACAACGTCAGCAAATTCATGAAAGCAAGAGTTGGAAATAGCTGAGGATTCTATGCCAACTCTTAATAAACAGACTATTCTATAGGTGGGGGGGGGTGTACCTTTTGTACGATACTTTGCGTATTTATTCAGTATTTTTAATCACGACATGGTTGGGTTCGCTCAAATTTGCATATTTTGAAGTATAGATAACATCCAGCAACTTAGTTCTAAAACAAAAATCTTTGGAATAGATTCAATTATTGCATTGGGCCGCAAACGGGATCACTAAAACGATACAAACTTTCATTTCAGACAATATTGTTACTACTTTAACTACCGACTTTAAAGGTTTTGCTATCCGTGGTCCCACCACGGAGACTGAAAAATTGTCGAATTTGATGGAATTCAGCCGCTTCTACGAGAAAATACATTCTAACTTCTGAAGCTAATATTATGGTAAGTGTTTCATGATTTTTCAACTTTACATCGTTGTTCCAGGCTACGTTATCTTGTAAGATCGATACAGCTCATAGGGATGTGATCGTAAGCAACCTAAGTTAGATATTTTTGTAATTTTCCCTTGTCTAGCATGATGCACAACTAAATTTTTATGGAAACCGATTGGCTACTTGCTCGAGTGATAGACTCATCAAAGTTTTCGAGGTTAAGCTGTTTTCTTCAATTGTTGTGGTTCATGCTTATGTTAAGGTTAAAGCGAATGGTCAAACATTTCCTCTTGCTGAACTATCAGGTCACACTGGTCCCGTGTGGCAGTTATCGTGGGCACATCCCAAATTCGGAGGTGTTCTAGCTTCCGCCGGTTATGATAAGTAATTTCTTTACAAGTTTGAATTGAGAACCAGTTTGTTTTCTAGGAGAGTTATTGTTTGGACAGAAACCTCTGGTCGTTTTCAAAAAATGCATGAGTGGTCTGGGCATGAGGTGAAAAGAAGAAAATGAAACGCATCAAATCAACGAAAAACTTACAGACTAGTGTTAATGGTTTAAGTTTTTCTCCTTACAAGTTAGGATTGATTCTGGCTACTGCTTCTTCCGATTCTTCTATTGGAATTTTATCCTTTCATCAAGCTAGCTCTCAATGGAATGATTATAGAATATTGAAAGCACATGAGCAGGTTTCATCGAAATGAGTATGTTATCTGATTTGACTATAGGGAGTAAATGCTGTTTCCTGGGCACCTGCTCTACATTCTTCGCCGGATAGTAGTGCTGATCAACCATTACCAAAGAGATTCGTCAGTTGTGGAAACGATAAACTTATTAAAATATGGAAGTTAGAGTATTATTCGATAAAGCATTAAACAACGAGTTTTTAAGAGAGGAAGACGGTGAATGGAAATGTGAGAAAACACTCGCGGCTCATTCAGATTTTGTGAAAGATGTTGCTTGGTGTCCAGTGGCTAACAACACCACACATACTATTGTTAGTTGTGGTCAGGTTAGATTCCGATTAGTTTTGGGAATTTTTTTTTTTTTAGGATAGAAATTTATATTTATGGCGCTGTAATGACATTGCCCAAGGTGAATGGATACCCAAACTTATCGAAAAAGCCGATGGAGCTTTGTGGCATATCAGTTGGTCTCTTTGCGGAACCATGCTCTCAGTCAGCGGAGAAGATAACAAAGTTTGTTTCAACTTTATTAATATATTCATCTAAAATTCCAGGTAATTCTATGGAAGGAAAACTTACAAGGACAATGGATGAAAATTGAGGAAGACCAAGAAAAACGAAACCGAAACTGAACATTTAATCCAAGGTTGTATTGTTGATCTGTTCGTTCTCAACTTATTAACGTGTAAATGAGGGGGTTTTGTCTTATTCTCGGAGTTCATGAGAGCATTATTTATTTCAATACAAATTCTACACATTCGCTTTGTAAACGTCGACCATTATACGTTCTGTCAAACGTTGCAGCTTGTGTTTAGTCATTGTTTTATGCAGAACTTCATACCAGTTTCTGAAAAGTGTTCAGGATCGGATCATGTAGTCAAGAAAGAAGGTCATACCGACAGTGTGGGACTTCAATATTTTTGTATTTCAATGATATACTTATACAAGTAATTGCTAATGACTCAGGTGAAGAATTCACTATTACATCCGGAGCTGCATACAGATCCCTACAAATGGCAGTTGCAATAGAAGCAATTTGCTCCCGTTCGAAATCTTCCGCGACCCAACTTCTCAATTGATCCAAATACAATGCCAGTATCTAAACGAAGAGGAACAATACAGATTAGTTGATTTCTGAATGATAAGTACTTTGAATGGATGTTCGAACTCCAAGTTGAAGTTCAATTCTCTTAGCAATACGAATTCCAATCTTGTTATTCCTTGACGAATATCCCATTGTAGAGCTCCGACGGTCATTCTCTCTTCATTGGGATGCAATATTCTAATAAAAGATGAAGATGAAGAGTGAAAATACAACCTATAAGTAGCATTGACAATATCCCTTATTCCTATTGAGTTATCTTCTTCATATTTCGAAGAAATCATTAAAGCAGCAGCTGCCATGGTCTGAAGTTGTTATGATTAGAATCATAAGAGTAAAACTTACATAATTACAAACGGAATCCATAATCGTTCGTTTGTACAGTCTATATAATATCATGATGGCTGAACAAACGGTTTTGTTCTGAGCATCCAACCGTGCACCTTAAGAAATATAACACAAACTCCGAAGAAAAATTCACCTGCTCGAATAACGAACTCGTATATCACTCTCGGATCTACTCTCAACTCAGCCATACTTTAAACTTGTTTTTAATATTAAAATTGTAGATTATATCGAGGTATTTCATAGAACTGTCACTGTTTGACATAAAATTAAAAAATTACAAAGTTTATGAGATCGAATGTACATATGGAATCACTCGACAGTTGTCAGACGCAAAACATCATTAGCTTCCGGCGAATAAAAACCCAAGACTCTCATGGGATTGTCCAATGCAATGATATAGTCTTCCCTAACCAATTCCATGGAAACAGTCAGAGGGTCCAAGAGAAATTGTCGTGAAACCTAGGGGCCTTCAGATACAGAGAACGAATTTCAAAACGTCTTACAATACTTATCAGACGATGAATTGTTATTGTCAGAGGAAGTTTTCTCTCAATAGTCTGCTCATTATAACTAATACATAGAGGCACGACATCTAAACATCTTCGAGGACCTTCGACAGCTGGAGCACCATATTTCTAAAGCATTCAAATAATTGTTCGACCAAGTTATACGTTACCTTTACTAAGCGATTCAAATCGTTTTTATGTGGGATAAGCTGATCTTCAGGCAGTATGAAATATTTAGTCAGGAACCTTATCTCAGCTGACCTCCGTTCGACTTGGCAAACATCGAATCGGTTGAGATCTAATAAGATTGGTAACTTAGCGATGATTACCTTAAGAAGATAATGAGATTTGAAAAAAAACCAAAAGGATACCTCGTGAACCTCGATATCACGGATACAACTGAAGTTTTCAGTATCGATGTACAGAATAGTGAGACTAGGTAAAGCCTGAAGCTCGGTGATCACATCCCACTGAATTCTTTTTTTATACTGATGCAAAATGAAAATACTCACTGAACAGAAATTATTGCCTTTCAGATTGAGAATTTCCAAGAGTGGAAAACTGCTCTTTGATTGAACTATATCAAGATTGAGTAGTCCGCAATCTCGTAAACTCAATTTTTTCAGGTTCTTGAAATTGCCATGAAGATTAGTGAATCGATTGAGGGGATTGCCTTCAAGATCTAACTGCTCAAGACGTTCTGCAATCGGATCAGGAAGTGAGACAGAAGTCAAACTATTCTTCAAAGCATGTAATTCCGTGACGTTTTTGAAGCAGTGTAAAACATTTGACATCTAATATATAATGTCGTCAGAAAGAAATGTCTGCTTAACTAACAGTTTCCATGGATATTCCGCATTCGCTTAATATTAAGTTTTTCAACCTATCCGTTACAGGCCACTCGGATATTTCATCATCGCTCATTTCATCCATACGATTTCTCCTTTAAAAATATAGATAAAGGGAGTTGATGAAACACATACCTGAGAACTAGCTCCTCTAACACTGGGAAATATGCCAAAATTTCTTTCACATCCTCCCATTTATGCAACAAATTATTGTATAAATTCAGATCTCTGAACACATTATTTCTGTTTTAGTCATAGATCTTACCGACAGTATTGAAACCGTTCAGTTCCACATGGTGGTGGTTCACAGATATTTCGGGAGTCCAAAACTATGGTTGTGAGATTGAATATTTTTCTGAGAAAAGTTGTTTGGATTTTTTCCTTTTCTGTTACTTTTGTCTTTCGGCAGTCTGATTCATTCCCACCAACTCAACCACCTTAGAGGAGAGCGTTTCCGTTTCTTGCTCTTCTGCATTATTCGCTACGTATCTTTCATATCAAAGTATCAAGCTTTTGGATGCACGAAAAAACCTTTTATGAACTCCTTCTAGAAAGTTGCAGCCTATCACCACAGCACTTCCTCTAATGAATGAGCCGTTTCGAGGATGTCTCGAAACTCTTGATACTTTGGACCAATAAAAATCTCTTACTTGGTCACAAAGTATCGCTTGCCATTCACACATCCATCATGTTTCCCACCATCGAGATCATCCCATTCGATCCCAAGCCATTCCCCTCCATGACCCTCTACAGTTCCTACATAGCGTACGGTTCCTTTTCTGGAAGAACACTCTATCCTTCTACCAACTTCCATCTGAACAATTTTGAGCTCTCTTGTGAGGCAAAAGCATATAAAAATATCAAACAAAATCGAATCGTTGCGGAAAAAATAGAAAGTTTACTCCGCAAACCCTTTTATGCAAAATATGTACGAGTTATTATGATGAATGACGAGACTAGACAGATTAATGCATTATTATAAAGTATCACATTATTATCTAACACAGACTTGGAGAAGAAAAAAATTATTGCAACTGATTAACCCGATAGACCAGAAAGTGTAAATGACGTGTCCAAAGATTACGTGAAAGACTACCAAGTATAGGAAACGTATAGTACAAATTTTCTACCAATACATAATAAGCTCAAGAGGATGCAATCTCTTTCGCGTCAACTCCACTGAGAAAGAGGAAAACAAAAAATAATAGAAGAGTTCCCAGCAAATCTCCTAGAGCGGTCAAGTATGGGATTGCAGCATTATCAGGATCGGTAGAATTCATCCACATCAAAGGAACGATGTATTGACAAACGTATAGAATAACCACAACCTGGCATTATTTATTAACTTAAAATGTCTAGTGCTCATGTTATACCTGAATCATGGCGGCGATCAGATAAAAACTAGTGAATAAAGCGCCGTGAGGGGGAACACTCGAACCTATGTGGAGCAGGCGAATGAACCAATTAAAAACTATATGACCTGGAACTACAAGGAACAGCAAAACGCGAGCCGAACGCGAATCCCAATCTGTAAAAAAGAACATTTTTAGAATAAAAAAAAAGTTACCTTTGCTGAAGAAAGCCCTTTTGAAACTTGTAAAACGTGAGGTTGTCCACCCATTGGGAAGCTCGCCGAGTGTACCAGACTGATGGAAAAATGTAGAGAGCCTACTAGCTTGAACGGCGGCCAAATTTCCACCAACACCTTGAATAATACAACAATGGCACAGTTTATTACGGCAGGCTAACCATTGATAACTGGTTGAAAAACAGCCATGGAAGAAAATTCTCTTATAGCATTTTCTAAAATGAAACCACCACCACTGCTGATCAACATAGAGAAAATCACAGGAGACCATCCTTTGCTCAAAACCTAAACAGAATACACAATCGAAACGTCTTTTCTGGATGAAATCACTTCTGATGTTCCTTCATCTGTCAATGCCACTCTTATCCATAGCGGAGTGAGTAGAACAAATAGTAATATAATGCTAACATTAAGCCATGATTCAGTTTCATGCGCTGTGAGGAACAATGAGCCATACATGGATAATACCCCCAGCGTAGTTAGATCGCCTGAACTGGGATGTACACAGAAGTTACTGTCTAGAACGAACCGAACGAAGCGGCTAGAGGAGTAGCAACATTATCAGGATTTATATTGTATGTTCTTGAGCATAGAACAACACCAGACATTAGTAGGCTTAATATTAACGAAGCACTACAGGCCGTTGCCAAAGACGACGCACACAAGAGAGCAGCATGAGACCAATCAAGCTAGAAAGGTTCATGAAGCATCTAATTAACTTCGGAGCGTCGAACTTCTCCTTTCGGTATCCAAGCGAGTACTATGGCTATGGAAGACGCGAGAAAAGCAACAACTGCTGCTTGAACTTGGATTAGAGCTAAATTTGCAGTGATAACGTTCTTTCTTTGTTGTGGAGAATCCAGATAACCGAGATTCGCCTTGGAATGATATAGTTGTACTGGAGTTATAGAACTTGATTACCATGGTTGACAGTCTGCTTGCGAACGTCATTTCAAGATTTCCTTTCAAGCCCAATAAAGCAGGAACGAGTATGAAAATTTCAGGAACTTCTTTGTATAACCGCCAATTCTGTACCCAATCGAGCACAATACCAGCAAGAACCATTCCCATCCCAGCTATTGCGAATGGGAAAACCACCTGGAGAGACGTAAATTGGAATTATTAGAAACTACGAAAACCTGTATGAATAGAACATAGCTACTTTCAACTGGCGTGACCGAAATATCTATAAAACCTTGATCAGGAATTCGGTTTGCTGCTTGTTTCATTACAGAGCTTCCGCTTCTTCTACATAAAAAAAAATGCAACATCATGAAAAATCTATATGATCTTACGTATCGTGAGATTGAGATGAGGAATCATCCGATAACTGCGAAGCCATTTTGGTCAACTGTTCTATCCCCTCTTGTATGGACTCCTTCGCATTACTGTTTGAGGAATCTCCCAAACTCAACATCTAAATACACAAAAATCTGTTGAAGTGGACTGAAAGATCATAAGATATGCAATGCGGACAAACATACAAGTCAAAAGACAAATCAGAATAATAACAATTTATTAAATTACTATGCTCGGAGAACAGAATTGAAGGCGAGAAGTTGTTTATTCTCGGTGAAGGCGATGGGTGCTACTGAACCTGTGCCTAGAACTTATTGTCTATTCTTCTTTTTCTCGTCATGACTTTTGGGATTGAAAAAAGATTCTTTGTCAGCCGGTTCAATACTATTTTCTTTCGCGAATTGTACCAAACATCGTTTCATTGCAAAAGCGTCTTCGCCATCAGCATAATATCTTCAAAAAAACCCTTATAAATGACTCTCCTTGTTCTATCTCACTTCGATTCAACATCGCTGACCGAGAATTTCAAGGAATTCTGATAGAGATTAAGAGCAGCTCTGTTGCTAACACGGACATGTAAGGACACGTAACGAGCATTGAAAGTTTCAACCATGGCTCGGGCAGTTTGATCCATAAGCTTTTGGGCCAATCCTTCACGAAAATGTTAAACTTTTTCTGTTAAGTATAAAACGAAACCTAATCTCCTGTACGACCGCTTCACAGCCAGGGAGGTAATGTGACCATGAGGTTCTTCTTCGGGATCTTCTTCCATTTTTGCCAATACATACCCAACTATATTACCCTGTAATCTTTGTTGTTGTTTACAAAGGGAGGTATCGAATATGACCTTATGATCTTCTGCTACGTAAGTCAATTGGGGCCAAGACAGAGCATGATAGAAATAATATTTCATTTGATAATTTTCGGGAAGGCACATTAGGTTTGCATGTTGAATATTCATTAGATCTTCTGGTTTTGCACAACGTATATTCATTTTTCACTAAACTGAGAAGTTGTTAACACCAAACTGTTTTCTATATATGAGGGATATAAAGTTGTAGTTGAAACTAAGCTTTTAAACAATAAGACGTGAGGTCGAAAATGTTCGTTATTCTTATCCAGAACTGTTTGGCTGCCCAGTGTAGCACATATATACGAAAATAGACGAATCTGTAAATGCCTAAAATTTGAAACTTTTTGAATGATTTTGCTTCAATAATGATTGTGAATATTCGTTACTTAAAATTAAAGATTTTGCTTTCATTGTAGCTCTAATTCGATATTCTTGAACTTCATTAAGTAAATTGCAGTATTTAAACAACTTTTGCAACATCGAACAATGGGTTTCGATTCCCCAGCAAATTCAAGAGGGGGTATAAAAAACTTAAGTTAGCTATAATTGTAATCCAATCTCAGGTTTCCGTGGTCGTGGACGTGGTGGTGATCGAGGAGGAGGATTTTCTCCACGCGGTATGTTACAATGCGTTTCTATATTAAAGTTTGCGTTAAGGTAGGGGAGGATCTCCAAGAGGTCGTGATTTCGGACCTCCACGAGGCGGTGGACGTGGATTTGGATCTCCCCGAGGCGGTCGTGATTTTGGACCACCAAGAGGTGGTGGACGTGGTTTTGGATCTCAAAGAGGGGGACGTGATTTTGGATCTCAAAGAGGAGGACGTGATTTCGGATCTCAAAGAGGAGGACGTGATTTTGGATCTCAAAGAGGACGTGATTTCTCCCCCAGAGGCAGAGGCGGAGGAGGTGATTTCTCTCCCAGAGGCAGAGGAGGAGGATTTGGTGGAAGAGGCGGAAGAGGCGGAAGAGGCGGAAATTTTACTCCCCGAGGTGGAGCTTCTGATAGATTCAACAGAGATGCTGCTAGTGAGAAAAGAAAAGTTTACAGAGATGACGACGATGAGGATGAAGGTTCGAGAAATAAAGGAGAATACACAAGTTACTGATATTTCTTAGATGTTCCACAAAAGAAATCCAAATCTCTTCCTAGCACTCCTGCTGGTAAGAAGCAAAATTTCCCTGCAAAAGGCAAAGCTAAGGTAAGCTTGTACTTTAATTAGTTTGAATACGCATTTGTCAATTCTTAGCCAGTTGAAGATCCTGAAGAGGCCAGCGATGAAGACGAGGAGGAAAGTGATGAAGGTTTTTTTTACAATTCTGTTGTACTATTATCTCATGAGAGTTTCAGAAATCGCTGTGAAGCAACCTGTAAAGGGAAAAGCAACCAAACCACAAGTAGAAGAAGATAGTGATGAAGATGAAGAAGATGAAGATGAAGAAGAATTTGAAGATGAGGATGAAGATGAGGATGAAGAGGAGAGCGAGGTAACTTAAAAGAAATGACAAAAAGAATTTTTTTCAATTCGGTCAGGAAGAACAGGAAGACGAATCTCAAGTTGAGCCAAGTAAGATTGGTACCATTAAAATCACAAAGAATGGCAAAGAACTAATAAAGGTATCTTCATAATATTGACCAAGTTATTTTTTGATTTTTCTAAGAGTGTGTCCGCTGTAGAAAAAGATGAGGATGAAGACGATGACGAAGAGGATGAAGATGAAGATGAAGATGAAGAGGAAGATGAGGATGAAGATGAGGAAGAAGACGATGAAGATGTTACTACTTCTACTCCACCATTGAAGTCTGCCATCAAAGGCTCTGTGAATTCAAAGACTGGTAAACAAGTGGATATTTCTACTGCGAATACACCAACTACAGCGGTAAATTCCTAGCTGAAATGTGTTCTATAATTCTACCTTAGGATCGCAAGGCGCCTGGAACCCCACATCCCAAAACAGCCGTCCTGAAAGGCAAGTTGGATTTTGATGATGACAGTGAAGGAGACGAAGATGAAGAGGAAGAAGATGAAGATGAAGAGGTTGAAGACGAGGACGATGTCGATGATGAAGAGGTGGAAGATGAAGATGAAGATGAAGCAGAGGATGAGGAAGATGAAGAGGATGAAGACGAGGAAGAGAAGGAAAATCAAGTTGCTGCTGCTAAAACTCAGGTAAGGAGTTGAATGTCCTCGACAAGTATGATCTCTGATTAGAAAGTAACCGCTGTAGCCAAAAAGGCAGAGGTAGCTAAAACTTTACCGGCCAAGAAAGCTGAGCAGGTGAAGGCCACAGCTTCGCAGCAGGAAGAGTCTCGCAAGAGAAAAACACAAGATGTTGCTCCATCTGGGAAAGTTATGAAGATTAGTGCTGAGCAGATTATTGAAGAAGAACAACGACGTAGAGTCGAGAGAGATTCCAGATCTTTATTCGTTAAAGGATTTCCCAAGAACACAAAGGTAAGAAATCTTCTATAGTTTTACTCGCATTGTTTGATATATTAGACTGCGGTATTAGAGGCTCTTCACCCAGATATTGAATCAGTTAGGCACAAGCCCAACCAAGCATTTGCTTGGATTGTTTTCAAGACTGAGTCAGCTTGTGATAAGGCACATGAAGCATTATCGAGTAAAAAGTTGAATGGACAAAGTATTGCTGTGGACTTCTGTGGTCCTAAATCTACAAGGCCAAATGCTAAAGCAGGTGTGGAATATACTTGTTTTTCTATTTTTTTTTCGTTTTCAGTAACAAAAATGTTAAATCCAATTAACCCTCTTGAGCTATATTTGAATGGATTGCCAAAAGCAGCTACTAAGGAGGATCTAAAGAATATTTTCCGTAGTGCAGTTTCTATCAAATCTGTTACTCTCATGGGCGCAAAAAAGACAAAGTATGAATTTTTCCGATCTAGTTTCCTAACTGTTGTTGTAGCGGCAAAGCTTTCATCCAATTCGGAACAGAAGAAGATGCGAAGGCTGCTTTTGATAAGAGTAGAGGATTGAAAATTGGAGGAAAATTAGTCGATGTATACTTCGCCAGATCTAGAACGGAGCATATCACTCCACCTGTAAGTTCAAATATAATTCCAAAAAAAGCATGTATTTCAGAAAAAGTTCACCAAACCTCAGGCTAACGACGATTCTGGAAGTGAAGAAGACATTCCCTCTAGCGGCGAAGAAATTGAAGAAGTCCCCGAGAAACAGAAAGCCAAGAAAGTTGTGAAAAAGGTGGAAAAGAAAGGTCCAGTCAAGAGGGGCGCTAAAGCTGCTGCGAAAGATAGTGATGACGATGAGGAATAAATAACGAGTAGTACATTAACTAACCAAGTATAGACATTAATTTGTTGATTTTTTTGTTTTTCGCTTGTTGTCTTGTTGAATTGTTCATGTTATATACTGTTGTTGATCATTGAAAAAATTTAAATAAACCTTTCAGTTTTAACCTTCAGTCAGAAATTTGCCATCTGCCTTATCAGGGTTTTTATCACTTATTAGCATGGGAGTCTTGAATGTGCGATTAAGGTGGAACTGGAAATAACTGAATTATCAAATATTTCCAGATTTTCGGAAAATCATTTTCGTCTATAGAATAGGATGATATCGATAGTGATTTAAACGATGACGACGGAGAGACTACGTCGATCAAGGAGAGTTAGAGAAAAACGGTCGTGCGGCCGAAGACCAGTGAATGGTCTTGCGACAGGAGGAATCTAAAACCAAGCAATAGCATAACTACTTCGGTAAGCTCACCTTCAATTGTTCCTACCATTATGTGTCTGAATATGTTGTAAGCTATCTTCTCCTGACACTATTATCATTCTTTCAATTTCTTCATTTATGACCAGGTATAGTCTAGAAGCAGATATCCTGTAATCCAAAAATCGATTGCCTGTAATGGATTGAAGTATTTTACAACAACTGTTTGCGATTCACACTTTTTTCGAACCCCTTATCAGTGGAATCATTCTGACGACTGTTGATTAAGAGTTATCTGAAGTATACTCATAATGATAACATCTGAAAATTATCGCTGCAAAATCTTATCTCCAACCTGTTTCATTCTTCGAACGCAATGCCATTTGACTCAGAATCATAACTGAGGTTGTCTACATGTTCTGTAGAACACTAACTATTTTTTTGGTTCAACTCTTTTCGCGCCTATAATGGTTTAGGGATAAAGAGTGAAAATAGTACATCTTGTATAATATGTTTTGTAGTTAGGTATCTTTATTGATGTTTTCCCATTTGAATCCTTTTTCTTATCGTTCAGTATTATGTTTATTTTTCTTCTACACTCTATTGAATTCACATTGTAAATGTATTGCTTCATAAAACTTTTCCTTATAACATAATTCCAGAACCAGGATGGGGGACTTCACACGTTCAGAAGAAATGAGGTTCTGCCAACTTATTGTTGAGAAAGATGCAGCATTCAATTGTGTGGCAGAACTGGGAAAGCAACCTTATGTCCAATTTAAAGATGTTATTGCTTCAAATGAGTTGTTTTACCTCTAATTTTCTATTTAAGTTGAACCCCGACGTAAACCCTTTCCAGCGAATGTTCGTTCGTGACATTCGGCGTCTGGATGAGATGGAGCGTAAATTGAGTGAGAGCATCAGTAAACTGCCAGAACTATTTTTCTTTAATAGGGTTCTTGGAGTCTCAAATTAATGCCGATAGCATACCTATTCCTGGACGCATTGATGATGGCGATTATACGATAATGCCACAAGTTGAGCTAAATCAGCTGGAGGTTAGATTATGCCTCTAATCTTGTACTTAATTTATTCAGACAACCCTCACTGATCTGGAAAGAGATGTTAAAAACATGAATGAATCCGACTCTCAGTTAAGATCAAATCTAATGGAATTGAAAGAATGGGATCATGTGCTTGATAAGACGGATCAGTTTTTCCAAGGGGTAATTTTTGCAATTTATCTCAACGCTTTTTTATCATTTCAAGGGAGTGGATGACCAGGCTCAAGAAGAGCTTGAGATACAAGAAGAAGAAGGTTTCGGTAAAAGTGAAAAAGCTCCTATGAGGTGTGCGATTGTTCTCAGAAGTAATTGATGTTTTTATACTCAGTTATGGAGTTGGAACCATCAGAAGGGAGAGGCTCTTGGCATTCGAAAGAGTTCTGTGGAGAGCTTGTCATCATACAGCTTATCTGCGAAGTGCCCCAATCGAGGAAGTTTTCGAATATACAAATGTAAGTACCTGTTTACTAGAAAAATATATCATCTAAATTTAGGGAGAAAGAAGTGAGATGGCTGTTTTTATCGTTTTTTATAAAGGAGATCGTCTTCGAGCTATTATCGAAAAAGTTTGCGATGGCTTCAAAGCGAAACTTCTTAAAAACTGTCCAAAGACTTTCAAAGTAAGCATTAAGCTCTTGTTCTACTATCAAAATAATCACTTTCTCTCCATAGGAAAGGCAATCAGCTCGCGTTGATGTTCGTGCTCGACTCCAAGATCTGCAAACAGTCATTGGACAGACGAAAGATCATCGCTTCCGCGTTCTACAGGCTGGAGCTAATAATCACAACCAATGGCTCAAACAAGTATAGTTTTCTCACTGTTATTATTAGATTTCGTTGAATTGATAGGTTCGAATGCAGAAAACAGTTTATGCTCATCTAAACCTGTTTACCTTCGATGGCATCGGTCGTTTCTTTGTAGCCGAAGCTTGGGTTCCGTCGCTCCATATTGACGATGTTAAAATTGCTCTTCAACGAGGAGCTGTAAGATTATTTTCCATTAACTTTTTCATATCTGATTATTCTAGGAAGCGAGTGGGTCAACAGTCGCTCCAGTTCTGAACGTTTTGGAGACATCTAAAACCCCTCCAACTTACAATAAAACCAATAAGTTTACTGCTGTTTTCCAAGGTATTGTGGATTCTTATGGAGTAGCATCCTACAGAGAACTGAACCCGGGTAAGCTGATAAATTTTTAACATTAAATTGAATCTTACAGCTCCTTACACTATAATTTCATTCCCATTCCTGTTCGCTTGTATGTTCGGTGATCTTGGTCATGGCATCCTCATGTTCCTTGCTGGACTATATTTAGTTCTACGAGAGAAAAATCTTATCGCTAGAAATATCAAAGATGAAGTTGGCTTCACAATTTAACTTTTCTTGACTCACATCTCTGTAGATTTTCGGAATGTTCTTCGGTGGTCGTTACATCATTCTCCTCATGGGTTTGTTCTCGATTCATGCTGGAATACTTTACAATGATTTGTTTGCCAAATCTTTCAACATTTTTGGAAGTCAATGGTTAAATACCTATAAGTAAGAACTTGTTTCTATTTTAACTGTAATCAACTTGTATCAGTTCATCCCAACTTGACATCTGGATTGTACAAGCCTCGCAGACCAAGAAGGAAATGCTGATTGAACTTGATCCTGGCACCTCTTACCAGCACAGTGAAGGACCATATCCGTTCGGAGTTGATCCAGCTTGGAATATCGGAGAGAACAAGCTCAACTTCCTCAATTCAATGAAAATGAAGCTTTCCGTCATTCTGGGTGTTGGGCAGATGACATTTGGAGTTGTCCTCAGTCTTTTCAATCATCGCTTTTTTAAGTCCAAGATTGAAATCTTCACGGTTTTCATTCCTCAAATGTTATTCATGTCTTGCATTTTCATCTACCTTTGCCTACAAGTAAGTTATAACTATTCCGATGCGAGATAATATTTTATTTTAAGATTATTCTGAAATGGATCTTTTTCTGGGTTCGTGAAGAGACCGTTTTTGGTCGGCTCTATCCCGGTTCTCACTGTGCACCATCTCTTTTGGTTTTTATAGCTACCATAACAGCAATTTTTGTTTGTTCTAGATTGGACTAATCAATATGTTCATGTTCAAATCTCGTGAACCAGGCTTTGTTGATATGAGTAAAGTTGTAAGCAACACAACTGACCATGTTGTTTATCAAGAATTGGAAACATGCTATCTCACCGAATGGTATCCTGGTCAAGTCAGTTTGTTTGAATTGAACTTTTAAAAATTGTTCATCTAAGGGAACAATCGAAGCTATTTTGGTATTGATTGCTGTTCTCTGCATCCCAATCATGCTCTTTGGAAAGCCGATTCATTTCCTTTTGGAGGAGAAAAAGAAAAAAAGAGACTTGGGCGGAAGCATGGTTTTTTCGCTAGTGCTTCAGTTCTATTATATTTCTTTCAGTCTGTCCATGCTAACGTTTATAACGATGATGCTGAGATTGTCATTAATGGAACCCAGAAAGCCGAGCAGCATCATGATGATGATCATGAACAACATGTTTGTTAATATTAGAGATGCTTCAATATATCTTCTTCCCCAGAACTTCGGAGATGTCATGGTTCATCAATCTATCCATACTATTGAATACGTACTTGGGTGTGTATCACACACAGCTTCCTATCTCCGTTTGTGGGCTTTGTCTCTCGCTCATGCTCGTAAGATTTTTTTTCTTTTTTTTTTTCGATAGTGGTCTTCGTCCTAGAACTATCTGAGGTTTTGTGGCACATGGTTTTGGTCAACTCTTTCAATCTTCATAATCCAATAGCTGGATACATTGCATTATATGTAATCTTCTTCTTCTTCGCTATTTTGACATTCTCCATTCTTGTCCTTATGGAAGGTCTCTCAGCTTTCCTTCATACTCTTCGTCTCCACTGGTCAGTATCTTTTCGTTTTCACAAGCAAACTTAATGGAAAATGAAAGCAATTCATTTACTTTCAGGGTTGAATTCCAATCAAAATTCTATCTCGGTCTTGGATATCCATTCGAGCCATTCAGTTTCAAGTCAACTCTACAGTTGGCCGAAGCTTCTCAAAGCTCTGGCTAAGCTACCAAGTATGATGATAGTTTAGCTTAATACGTTAAGCATGCGAATTACTAAATTTAGTAACCAAACGAAAAATTCAATAGATTTAATAGCTTATAGCTGAATTGTAAAGAAATTTTTTTTTCTTGCAATTCATATCCTCTTTCTAACTTCTCTTTCCATTGACATAATAAATAAAATGCTCAGTGTTTTATTCCAGCCACATAATGACATTCCTCTCTCTTTTTACGGAGGGAAACCAGCTTTCTATTTCCTATGCGTAATACTTCGGAAAGAGATTTTTTTAGAAAGTATAGTTCACTAACTTTTTTTCCCGGTGCTTCAAACTGTGAATAAATTTTTTCTGTACATAATATTATTACAATCCCTACATAATGCTTGTTGCTAATTCGAACAGTTTGAAAAATCGTATTAAGCAATATCACAGCCTTGGCTTCTGAACATGAGCTGAGTTCGTTCGTTCAGAAACTGAACGAATAGAGTTGTTGTCTCTGCAGAAGAACTTCTCAAATAGGAATTTACGATACGGTCCGACGAAATAGAAACTAAATTAATTTTTTAAATCTTTCATAACCGCACTTATCACCTAAGTGAGCCACTAGCCAGCGGGTACATCGTTACTGTAAGGTACGGGATGTCGAAGAGAAATAGGGGAATGTTACCACCACTCCAATTCGTAACAACCAGCATAACAACTATCAACGGAATTGTAATTGCCACGATAGGATATAAGTTCTACAACCACATTTTAACGTTTAGCTTCTCTAACTTACCTGTATCACCAACATTATACTCAATTGACGTTGAAGTTTATAACTTGATTCAGATAGATGTTCGCGAGCATTATTAACTTTCCATGCTGTGAAGATGGATGCTGCCAGATTACACACATAAAACGCTCCCAGCCCAAATACAGTAATAATAGCTTAAATTTTTTTTTATTAATGTCACAGAAGTATAAATATAACCTAATGGTATTGCTTTATCAGAATATATGTCCACTGTAACAAACACTGCAGTTGTATCAAACTCGTATTGGCGCAAGAAATGTGTCAAATTTTTATTTTGAACTGTCTCCAAAACAAACTGAAAAAATAAAATGTATTATTTCATAAATATTGAAATGAATTCAGAAGATATGCAAGTATGAGAAGGTAGAGCTAAGTTACTTTCCATATTCATACGTAGTTTGATGCTCTACGTGGAAGGCAACAATTTATTGTGGTAGTCTTCATTCGACAATTCCATTGTAGCCTTTTATGTTTACCTCGTTCTGGTTAGCCGCATAGTAGAGTGGCGGTGTGACAATAATTGCGAAAACTATGTTGATAGCGATAACCATTATGAAACCCCTGTTCAAATTAAGATTGAATTTTCCAAGTTTCTGGAAACCTGAAGGAGAAAGTGAAGTCTAGTAAATCCTGGCGTTGATAAATAATCATTAATCGTGTGAAGCAACAGTCATTATTCGCAGTGAACACAGTCATACCACTAATGACAAGAATGCATACCTTCAAGAGCTGACTAAAAAGTGATTAGTTTAATTTAGATACCGATATACGTGATCCTTCTTCACCAAAGTATTGGGCTAGTCCATTGATAGCTGCCACAGGAAGAGGAAAAAGAATGTCTGGGCCAGTTAGGAAGACACCACATAAGGAGAAGATCAAATCGCAAATCTTAATCAGAAAATGATATGATGGGATATAGTACGACTACGAAACTGTTAGTTTTAATAAGCTATATCTATATAAGTTTATTTCATTCGAAGATCTTGTTATTATAACATATATCAGTAGACAATTCGTAATATCACCAACTAAAGCCAAACTGAGAACAGTAGCGCTAAAAAGATCCGGAGGGCCCATTACCAGAAAAAATAACTCGGTGAGTTATGTGATTGGAAGTCCAATTTCGAAGAATATAATATTTTGCTCTTTTATATTTGTCTTTTCGTTTTTGATCTGCAAGCGGAAACTTCAGCTGTTCTATCAGCTGAATAGATTGATAATTGATAAGCTGTGAGAATTGAGATTATTCTTTAAACGAGTTCTTTGAAGCTTTTTCTCCCACTCCTTTTTGAACCTTTCTCTAACCTATTCTATCAAGTATTTTGAATACTGTGTTCATTGATTAAGGTTGAAGCAATTTTTTCTTTTTCGGTAGCTTTTGTGTGCCTTCGACTACATCTCTTTTCGGTCTGATCGTCGTCTGTCCGTCGTGGACAAATAACCGGAGAAAAGCATAGATCAGATCGAAGTGTACGTTTCAGTGGAAGATAAAATGAGAGAAGACGAAAAACATGCAAAATGAGGGCATTAAGAGAGAAAGAAAGGGAATGAAATAGTGTGAGAGAAAAGTTTTTTTGATTGAAGTCTAACTTCAAGCTTAAACAATCCAAAACCTAGCTCGATTAGACTTTTTTTTCCGTGTGAACGGAAATGCCCAATAAATATGAAACTACTCTTGTTTAATAATTGAAATACTTTTCATTGTTAACTGTTAACATTGAATTTTATTGCTTTCAATTATCTATTCCGAATGACAAAACCATTTGTAATGATTAATTCCACCTGCAGATTATGAGTTTCTTTTATATTCTCCTCTGCGGAGAATTCCAACTTCATTTATGTCAGGTGTTTAACAGTTTTCAACCAAAAAAGAACTCATCAAGAAAAACATGTTAACCCTGATCGAAAGTGAAACATTGAAAGAAACCAAAAAAAGTAGAGAAAAATTCCATTGAAAGGATGAAGAAACACACCCTGAGAAGTTGGTATCATGAGTTAGCTAGTATTTATAAAGTTAATTTTGCTTTCTTCAGTAATTCGCCAGAGCTGACTTTTGATAGAAACATCGAAATTGGAAACAGGTTAGAATGTTTTCCAATGTGTCCCTTTTCACAATATTTTCTTCATGTTGTTGTAAATATTGGATACTTTTTTCTTTCAAAAACTTCATTCAAACATATCAGTTACGTATCATAAACCTCTATTCTGGTTTTTAGTTCCATAAATTTGTCACCAATACTACATAAAATAGTTTCCAAGCGTATTCCCTTGCTCTCGAACATTCTCTGAAATTTTTATGAAAATTCATATGTGACACGATATTTGATTTCGAGTAACAAGCACCTATCAGATAAATTTCATTTAGTTTGTAAAATTTTATGAATGCAACCGCATGACTGACGTCGGATGAAAAAATGAACGTTTGTGCAATCACGTATGTATTCTACCGCTATTGATTGATGACTATTATTTATTTATTTTCACTTTTGTGTCAGATTTTTTCAACGGCTATTGTTTCTTGATACCTTGTTGAGAACGAGCTATTTATCATCTTTTTGCATGACTTTTTCACTGTCAGAGTTGAACGAGAAATTCAACGACGACACGAGAGACATCTCAACATTTTTGGAAACAAAGTTATACAATTTATTGAGCAATCTGGTTTTCGTTGTTTTTAATTATTTTTCTCTTTTTTCATCTTACTCGTCCTCGACTTCTTCAGTTTTAAGATTTCTAGTTGTAATGGATTTTCATCTGCAACTGGGATCTTTCCCTCAAATTGCAAGTTCTTTTCATCAGCATTTTACTTATCTCCACCTTGCAATCGCTATTTCACCTAGTTGTGGTGAGAGCATTCTCAACAATCGATTGTTCGTTTTCTCGTCTTTCTCATTTCTTTGCTTTCCTCTTTCCCCTTGCCCATATACGATCTTTAGGCTTTTCGTATATTCCTACCTAGAGACACTAATCAAGTTTTGTCTGGTAAATGATGTTGAATTAAAATGTATCTGCTACACTTGCTCATATCATGAGGTTATCCAGTAGATCTATCATTGAACATTCATCTTTTGCTTTTCATAGATTTACTTCGCTTGCTTTTTTCATCACTCCTGCGCTTCCTTCACAATTTTTTCTCTTTCTCGTTTCTTAGTATTACAATTTGAATGCATATTCATTTTGTCTTGCTATTTTCCCTACTTGAGCTTCAGCGCTCTTGCCTTAGCAAAATGTAAGCGATTCTGATCTTGTGTATGCTTTTCTCAAATGGTGATAATCCGCTAAGTCGTCGTAAAGATAATCCTTCTTTCGTCGCGTATCCTTCTTTCCAGCTCCTTCAATGGCTTCCGATGACGTTCTAGCTTTTCCTGTCAGAGAAGTATGTAGAAGTAATTGCTTAATGCTTTAATCTCATCTTTCTCTCTCGAACATACCTCTCTATGCGTTATGTATGTTTGTGAAAATAATAACAGTGATAGTGCTTCTTTTTCTTCTCTTCGCCTGGTTATGAAGAAGCTAATGTGCTGATAATACTTAGAAGTTTCAAACTTTGTCAGGAATATAGCTACAGTGAATTGAGTTATCTCCATAGCATTCTTATCAAACGACGTGTTGTTCTCATAAGGTGTTTCTTTTATCTATCCTCCACATATCTTTATCGTTCGTTAATGGCTCTCCTAAATTGAAAATAATGCTGATAACCTGCTTGTCTTGTGATAGAAAAAGGCTAGCAATTTAAAAGGGAAAGGAAGCCACTTATTGCTCCACGTCATCTGTGAGTACGATTATTCTGCTTTTCTCCGTGATAGATTTTTGACTCTATGATGGTGTTGAGGAAGAGGGTTGGCGAGTCAATGACCATATTTTCTGTATGGGCGATTATGTAAATGAAGTATTTCGCCACAAAACAAGGCTTATTGATTTATCTTAATTCTATGTGAAAAGTAAGGACATTGGAAAATTTCTCTGAAATATCCAATTGACTTTGGATATGAATATGATACTTATTAATTGGTCATCCAATAATTCTGCTCACAGCAGTCTTTTTACACATTAATGCGGACACTTGTGTTCATATGTTGATTAAAATAGTCTAAGAAAATTTTTTTCTTTGATTCTTTCTGTTCTCTCAATTTCTCTGTCTTTTGATTTTTAGCTATCTGCTCTTGAAGTTTCAATAGGTGAGAATGCGCCATATATGCTGCCTTTTGCTGCCGATGATACTTCCCCTTTCCAGTCATTTGTGCGCCTGTCCATTTCCGCTCCATCCCTTTATGGATTCTCTCAGTGCTGGTGTGGGCCATAATAGAAATTGAAATAGTACTATTGGGCATGTCTTTTGCATTTCTCTCATTTTTACACCATCTATTACCTTTTCTCTACATCTCTCTTTCACTCTTATAGGCTTTGTTCTCTAATTTCTTCCTATTGCTTAAACTGTCTGACTCTCTAATTTTCCTGTTTTCTTTTTATTCATGTGTTGCAGCCTGGCTTCACATCTTCAGCTTCATGCATCATTATCTTTCGTCCTTTTCGCCTTCTCTGACTTCTCATCAGCTCATCCAATGGTCTCATAAATAACAGCTCACAAGTGCTGTTGGCTACCTTTTTTTATTGATCTTCAGTATTGCCCTGACTCTTCTTGTGCTGATTTTCTCCCATCGAATTTTATCGAATGTTTCAAAACTTCCGCCTATTGTTTTCTCCGGCTTCATTCATTGTCCTTAATAATAATATTAAATATATATTGACATAATTGAAGAATATTTTTCTAATATATTCTCAGAAAACTCAATCAATTTTACGGTCAAGTCTTTTATACAATTTTAATTTGCCTTCTTTCATCTTTTCGGCTATGAAACAGTTTTGTTTCATGTCCATTCACTTTCTTATTATATCTTATAACAAAATTTTAATGAAACACGCGAGGCTTTTTGAACACAATTTTATTAACTTTCTTGTTTCTCTTGCATTTTTTTATTGCGTTCCTCGTACCAAATGGGGGAGCTACGATGGAAAGTTATGCGGCAAAAAACTATATTATAGCTAGAAAGTTTATTTCATCATTCCCTGCATTCAATCGAATGTTTTGATGTATGGCATGCGTTAGCGTATGTTAATTTGCCACGTATGCCACGTGCTTGCGTTAAGCTTGAGCGAACCTAAGCAATGAATCAGTCATTTGATGTTTTATTATCCGAACGGTTGGTAACCATTTGATATTTTGGCTACATCTAAATAGTGATTTTGGTTTTTTTCAAAAGTCAGTCTTTATAAAAGAGGACGTTTGTATTCAGGAATGAGTAAGAGCATAGAAATAGATATTAGTTAGCAGGTTAGAAATTAGACAATGTTGTTTAACTGCGTAGGCTATATAGCCAAAGGGTTTTAAGTAAGCAAAGAAGGAGAGAATTAGAGAGATGCTAACATGTATTCTCAACTTTGCATAATTCTATTAAAACAAAAATTATGAGTAATTTATGCAGTTCTTATATGTATTCATGCCTAATTAATGCTAATTATATTGTAATAGTCTTCATAGTTTCATTTACCACGCTTCAACTCTAATTTGAAAATTGAATATTCATTTTTTATGAGCCCTCTGAGAACTTTGGAGATAGATAACGTTTCCTTGAAGTTCACCTGAAAACAATAAGTAATTTTGATTAAAAACAACATCAGAGCAGTATTTTGGGCAGTTGTTTTCGCCGCTTATTTTCGCTTTGTGAATGTTCTTTTTGAATTTTCTCATTTTTCAAGAGAAGAGAGAGTACAATAATTGTATGTGATTAATATTATTTTTATAATTATAACCTAGAGTTTTGGTTATCTTTTCGGTGAAAAATATATATGGAATTGCGTAGATAGATATATGTGAGCTTATTCTCAGGGGATAGATCATTTCCTAGGATGCTTTATGCTTAGCTTCTCCTTTTTTCACTTCCGAGACACATGAAGCTTGGAAACGAACAAGGCCACGTTTGCTCTCTCCTTCACTCTCTTTTTCTATCTCCTTCCTCTCTTTCTCTTTCTCTCCTTCTTTCTCTATATTTCTTTATTTCTATTTAAAGGCAGCAAGCATATTATATTCATGTTCAAAGTCTCTCTGTTGTTAGCTTACATATTAGTATTTTAATGGTTTTTCATCTTACATATGAGATAACTTATTTATTAAATTGAATTCAAATTTAATTGTGATAACATATTTTTTTCAAATTATGCTCGCCTTTAATCATCTACCGCTCGACATTGCTTTAGCACCTGTGCTTTAACATTAGGAATTTTTGTTTTCTTCAGAACGAATTTTTTATGCAAATGCTTGTAAATGAATTCATTTTCATTTACTTGAAGTTTTCAGTATTATTGATTTGGCTAATTGCATAAATTTTATTGCAAATGTTGTGAATTAGTGTCATTTTTCCTTTATGAAGTTTAGTTGAGCATCTCAATGTGGACGAATAATTTTTTGAAATGCATAGCGAGCTTCCTCTCCAGATTGAATTCACAACTTGATCTTATTTCGTTTAATTCTATATGTTCACACGCTTAAAAGCAATGAAGATGAAAGCTCTGTTCTTCTTACTTTCTTGAGTAGAAAATGAGCTTCTTCTACAAGTTGTGCTGGCCAGTTGACTAGAGAGGAAATTTATTCCCTTACTCTTTCTGCCGTCACAACTAACATGCTTTTCACATAGGAAGAACAAGAGAAAATAAGAGAAGAAAGAAACTCTTCGATGCTTCTCAAAAAAAAGAGCTTAATCCATAGTTCTATTTAATGGATAAAAGCACGTTCATAGTTATCTTTAAGAAATCTAATTTACAAACGAAATATAGACATTTCTTTTTGCTTCAATGCTTTTTGTAAAACAAGAAAAAGAATAGAAAAAAAGATGCAATAGATGAATTTGACGTTTTCCGAATTTGTGTCAAATCTCTTGAAAACGAACTTGATAAAACCAACTTTGTAAGACTAGCCATGTTCGAGGGTTTGGCAATCCTCGAATATGGCTCATTTTGTTAATCCCCGTTATTATCTTCTTATTATACAGCCATATAGCTTGAATTTACTGGAGTTTTATGTAGTCTTTTTCAGTGTGGGCTTATGTCGTCATATTGTAGGAAAACATTCTTAATTTTTAATTCATTCCCTTCAGCTTGAGGGCGAAATTCTTTGTATCGAAATGTTTTCTTTTTTAATATTTCACAACTTGAATGATTTTCTTTCTTAATCTCAGTTATTTAAACTTGAGAAAAATTGAAAAGTTTCATATTCTTCCCCTTAGTTTACATATTTCTTTTTTAATAAATGGTGAAAAGGTATTGTATATCAAATTGTCTTGTTCCACAAGCGTCTAAGCCGCTCTTTATGTTCTGACTTAGTGACTCTCTTCGTTTTCTTCACTCTACTCAGGAAGAGGAGAAAAAGAAAGGAGAAGGATCGATTTCGATTAACTTATTACAGCCGCCGGGTGGGGCTTGGAGATGAAACAGAGGTATAGAAACAGAAAATTCAAGAGACGCAGCTAACAAGATAAAAAACACTGAGTAAAAATAAGAGAGTGCTTGTTAGCTAGACACGAAATGTGCGTTGCCCTGTCTCGCCTCAGTCGGAGCTCCATTGGGCGGAGTGCTCTCGTTTCTCTTTCACTCTCTACTTCGTCTCCTCCCCCACCCTAGATCGCCTCAGGGCATACTGGCTGTTGACTATCGACCGGCTGGTTGAGCAGGCTAGATGCGAAGACTGCAGAGAGAGAGCAAAGAAAGCAAACGCTACGAGAAAATGTCTTTTCTCTCTAAGCTCACCTCTGTCTCTCTCATTGCTTGTTCTATGTATACTATCATTCCCTCTCGTATCCATCTTTTAGCTCTCCAGTAATTGAATGTTCTCTCTGTTTTTCTATTTCTCTCTTTATCCTTCTCTTCTCAGTCCCTTTCTCTCTCTTTTTCTTCCTCTTTTTCTCTTTCTATCTCGTATACAGCCACAGCCAGCAGCAGTAGCACAGCAGCAGTTTTGAGCCCTCCCCCTCGTCGGAGCCGTCGTCAGCCTTTTATCGATATCCACCTAACTCACCTAACTCGTTCTATGTATTTCCTTTTGTTTCTTTTTCTCTGCTTCACTTTACAAATAGGAAGAAGTCAATTATTTATAATTTAAAAGTTTTTGCTTAGAAAAATTTAGTATTTCTATTGATATTATTACTAAAATAAACATAAATATCGATATAAATGCCAAAATGTAGAGGTTGTAGATGGAGTTATTGATTTTCCATCTCTGATAACGTGCTCTATCTAACGTCATGATCATAACGAACACACAAGAAATGTTTTAGCATTCTTCTGTTTTCTGTTTTTTCTTCCCCATTTTTGTATTAAAATTCAAGTGGTGACTCTTTCTATTCTCCTTTTTTTTGTTATAAACTGTAATGATGAAATACATGTTTCCTTGTGGCTTTGCTTTTTCACGGTTTTATCGATTTTCTAGTATTCACTATTCTGTAAGCTGAATTCTATTTGTTTTTCATACAAACCACACCCCGTTTTCATTTATAATAATGTTCTTCAATAGTTTTAAAGCTCATACATATGAATAACCTTATAAAAGCATGTATATGTGTTGATGTGCATGTTGTATTTTCTCTGGAGTTCAAGCTTTTCACCTACTTTTACAAATTTTTTGCGTGCTTTGTGTGTGTGTGTGTGTGTATGTGTGTATGTATGTGTGTATGTATGTATGTGTATGCTTGTGTGTGTGTGTGTGTGTGTGTGTGTGTGTGTGTGTGTGTGTGTGTGTGTGTGTGTGTGTGTTTGTGTTTGTGTTTGTGTGAGTGAATGAATGTGTGTGAGTGAATGAATGTCTGTGAGTATGTGAGTGAATGAGTGAGTGAGTGAGCTTGGAGAACTCAGATGATTTAAGAAACGTTTCGATCGACTTTTTATAGTCTCAAGTCGAATCATACCATTCATGTCCGCCCACTTCTTATCAACTTCGTCTCCCTACTCGCATTTCTCTCTAATAATATCCGTCAAATCTAATCACTGATCGAAACTCCAGTTTGTTTCTGCCTCTTTCTTATTTTTGTTTGTTTTCGTAACTCATGTATCTATCATTTTTATATATTCGTTCTAAGATACGCTATGTTTTACATTGTCTTATAGGTTAGTGATCCCGCGTGTTATGCAGTTGAGCTAAGATTCAAGCACCAGACAAGCATCCAACATCATTTGCTACACCAATGGCTTCCACTTCAGCCGGTCAAGGTTTGTATAAATCGTTTTCGATAATAAATCGTAAGATGAGTCTCACGCTCATCATACATACACCTCAATATACTTATTCAATCTCGATTCCGGAAAATCAATCGAATATTATCGGTTGCTGCTGCAAAGAGAGAGGGGTGGGGGAAAGTAGTGGTGTTGTTCGAATGAAGCTTTCAAATGAAATTGGAAAGAGGGCATATGGGGTCTATGGCTTTAATGCAACCGAAATGTTATGGAGCATATCCGTTCTTGAATATTCTAATATAATTTTTTTGATTCTCATTCTATTGCTTCAGATTCTGCGGCGAACTCGTCAAGCAATCAGTTGTCATCGCGGGAACGAGATCGCGAACGGGACACTAAACAATTCACGGAGAGATTTGTGAAAAGTAAGTAAAATTGATGCGATTTTTCTTATTTCACACTCATTTATTTGTCTGTTCGCAATCCCTTTTGCCAAAGACAAGAGTCGTCGCCTACCTTATTCTAGGAAGCCAGAAATTGATTTCTCGTTAGAGTGACCGAGGGAATAGAGAGTAGCTGGAAGAGAAAGAGAAATAGGACTAAAAACATATACAAGCGGAAGGCAGGAGAAAGAGAAGGAAAAGGAGAGAGATGTGAGAAAAATCGAAAGTACTCTGAGTGGCTGGAGACAACCGCTGTTGCTCAGCTACATTGCGCATGATGATTCTTCTCTCAGTCAACTTATGCATTATGAAGAGCATTTTCCTCGAAAAAAAGAACAGTAAAACCAATAGTAGTGTATCAACCAGTGAAAAGTTGATTATTGGTTTTAAAATCTGTTCTTTTTTGAATTTCTACCTCACTTTCCCATCCTACCTCTTTGTTTTAGTGATTGAAAATGTTGCGAAAAGACCTTTTCACTTATTTCAAATAACTTATTAGATGCGAAGCCTAAAGCAATCAGGGGATTATAAAGATCATTTCTCAGTATGACGTGGATAATCTCTTCACTATATAAAGTGAATGGAATGAGTTAGAAATTGGAGAACAGGCAATCAACTTGTAAAAAGGAAGACTACGGCTCATCTTCCACTCACGTACCTCTTCAAGAAAGAGCATGTTCTTTAAGACAGCGCCAAATATTAGCGGCTAAATTAAGGAGTTTTATTTCGAACTTACTATTTCTAAGAACAAGTTCTAAAGACAGATTGAAATATACCTCTCTGGCAACAATCCATCTTTACACTGCCGAAACTGAATTCATCAAACTTCGTAGTTGAAAAGTTTCCTTCGGTTGTTTTGTTGAGTTTTTCGTTTCTATAATTGACCACTTTTCGCTTAAGTTTGTGTTGTTATCAACATGCCTGCGAACTTTTGTAGTCAATTATTCTGATTTTCCATTAACTTGGTGTGGTTTCGGGGTGTTTTGTCGGCTTTTCTGCTGAGATTGAACAGCAGAACAGAAAGCTACTTTAACATTTGAATGCTCAAGGTTTTACGGAAAAAATGACGAAAACGATCCTTTCTCCATCAAATATCATGATATTTTACTTTGTTTGTTTTTGCATCAAAATTCCTTTGTATATTGGAAAAGGCTTGAGAAAGTAAAAATATGTTAAAAATATCTTTTCTTTCCAACAAAAAGAAATGGGAAAATTGCGCTTAGTTTCATTTCATGTTCGGCTTATTTAAGTATGCATTAACGTTTTCCACCCCTAATTCTTTCTGGTTCTTACCCATTTTTAGAAGCAGGAATTATAATTTCAAAAAGGGGAATGTTTTAGAAATATGCACTTGAATCTAGGTTTTGAACAATTTCTTTACAGGTGTTCAATTTCCAATTTCGGAGCGTTTGACTGTCGAGCAGGTCTATGATCGGAGAACGGGAAAACCACGTCATGAGGTTCTCAGGGAACACTTCATTAAGGTCTTCATCGTTTTTCATCTCTGTATTTTTCATTTCATTTTAGGAAGGACGGATAGAAGAGGAAGCAGCCATACGAATTATACAGGAATGCACAGCTTTGTTCCGTTTGGAAAAAACAATGCTGGATATTGAAGCTCCTGTGACTGTCTGTGGAGACATCCACGGTCAATTTTACGATCTCATGAAGCTCTTCGAGGTTTTTGAGAGACATGTACATTTTTTCTAAGATGACTCCTTCAGGTGGGAGGTAGCCCTGCTACTACCAAATATTTGTTTCTTGGGGATTACGTAGATAGAGGATATTTTTCCATCGAATGCGTCATCTACCTTTGGGCATTAAAAATTTGCTACCCTAGTACACTTTTTCTTTTACGGGGAAATCACGAGTGCCGTCACTTGACAGAATACTTCACGTTCAAAACAGAATGTAAGTTTAGTAGTTTCATTATTAGCTTTAGAACAGAGTTTCCTCTTATCATTCATCGCTCTTATCAACCATGTGTCAGAGAAAGCCGGGACGTGTAGCTGAGAGAGTGGGGCTTTCACTTCTTCCTATGCTACAAAAGGCTTTTTTTCTCACTCAGCTTTGTTGCATATGCATGAGAAATTTCATTAATGCGTTTGCCTCGAACTCGACAATTTCATATTTTTCTGAAGAATACAAACGAAAGAAAAGAAATTGTTAACCTCCTTTTACATTTCATAGTTTGAAAGGGTCGAAATATTGTGTATGAATTACTGCTGAATATTTTTGGCCAGAACTTCTAGTTGTTTGATACACGTCACGCGTTTCCTAGGAAACGCTTTGGCTCTGCTTACCTTCTGTTTATGTCAATCAAGCATTCGACTGCTATATAAGGTGTTTAATCCATAGAATCCTTAGGAAACAGGTGCTTTATCGGCAGACCATGTATTCTTGAAGTTATTGAGCCGTAGAAGACATCAGGGGGGAGGGAGAAAGGGATACGAATGATGAAGGAAATGAAAAAGCATTTTTGTTTTTGAGCACTTTATTCACAAGATGATATTCTAGGTAAAATCAAATATAGCGAACGGGTGTATGATGTTTGTATGGATTCATTCGATGCCTTGCCACTTGCAGCTTTAATGAATCAACAGTTTCTTTGTGTTCATGGTGGACTTTCACCTGAAATTCACACTTTAGATGATATCAAAAAGGTTTGGGTATCCACCTGAAAGCTTGATTCTCAATTACACCCTTTACAGCTTGACCGTTTCAAGGAACCCCCAGCTTTCGGTCCTATGTGTGATTTATTATGGTCTGATCCTCTTGAAGATTTCGGAAATGAGAGAAACACTGAGCAGTTCAGTCACAATTCCGTTCGTGGTTGTTCGTATTTCTATAGGTATGAGTTCATGATTGAATCCAAAACACCTTTCATTTAAGTTATGCGGCGTGTTGTGATTTTTTGCAACATAATAATTTGCTCTCAATCATTAGAGCTCATGAAGCTCAAGACGCAGGGTATGGCGTTTTCAGTTTCATTTTATTTTCAATCAATATACTTCTAGTTATCGTATGTATCGAAAATCGCAAGCAACGGGATTCCCTTCACTCATAACCATTTTTAGTGCTCCAAATTATCTTGATGTATATAACAACAAAGGTTCCTACATTTGCATTTTGTTTTGCCTTATAATAATATTATCTTATCTGTAAAGCTGCTATTCTCAAATACGAGAATAATGTGATGAACATTCGGCAATTCAACTGCAGCCCTCATCCTTACTGGCTGCCAAACTTCATGGATGTTTTTACATGGTCACTGCCTTTTGTAGGAGAAAAAGGTTGCTATAACTTTTTATTCTTGTTCTCATTCAACACATCTTTGCAGTTACGGAGATGTTAGTCCATATTCTGAATATTTGCTCGGATGATGAACTTATGGCTGATTCCGACGACACTTTCGAAGGTACGTTAGATTTCCTTACATACAAAGTTTCTATTATTATCTTCATTATCATTGGAAGTTTTTTTATTTCGTGTCTCTGAAAATCCTCACTAATCCTATAACTGTTCCGAATCTCTGAAAGTACTCCATAGCTTTTGTTTTCATGATATTTAAGGGGTTTCTTCCTTTAAAACACTACACAATCATTTACTTCAGCATGTTGTCTCCAATATGTAACCTGTTTAAATTTTATATTTTTGGAACCCATGAAACCTTCACGTCGTGATATTCCGTCCAGCTTGTTAGACTCCCCTTCTCTCTCACATATTACCTCTTACTTCTTTCAAAACACATGCACGTTGCTGCTGATAGTCTTTCCCGATTTCCCTTTTCTCTTCTTACACACTTCTTTTCTGTCTTCTATCGTTTACATACCTTTTCAATCTACAACAGAAGTAATGATAAGTGCAAAAATCACTTGGATCAGTTACTTTTCATTGTCGCGCATGCTCCTTCGTTACTTCTGCGAGAAGCGACAAAATTCTGTTGTGTTCCTACTATGCCAAATGTTTGAACTCTTCAAACAATTGGTTTTGTTTTAATTTCCTCTGTACTTAATCACCTCAGCGAATCTTCCCCATGTAGTAGTTATAAAAAATTGGTAAAACAATGTTTCTTCTAATTTCACTCTTTTCATGTGCAGGCGCCGATGGTAAGTTGTCAATGCCCTGGAAAGCACAAGCATGTGCCCCAGGCAACAGCTTTCGTTTGATGGTCTTTCGCTATTCTTTTGTCTTTCTTTTACATGTGATCGAGATGCTTTTTTACACCAAACTCACGCCACTACACTTTTTGGCACTCCGGCTGTCCACGCCTATTAGTATTACCACCGCTTCAACCTTTCTGCCTCCGTTACTTCCTCAAGTAGTTTTCTTTGATTTGTAGCTTCTTGAATTTTTTTCTGATCTGACGTTTACTTTTTGGAATATTGTGGAAGAGTTCAAGAGGTTCATTCGATCTATCGAAAGTTTCTGCTTTGGGTTGCTTGTTTGTCGTTTTGGTGATAGTAGTTGGTGTTCCGTTCTATTCCCTCTATCCATCTGGCATTGATTGTTCTACATTTATTTTCCAGCATTCAATTTTATAAATTGAACAATCAAACCAGAAGATATATGTTTCGCGTTAAATTTAGTCATGATTTATTAGCCACATGTTTCGTTTCGTCCACCACATATGAGACAAATTTTATTTTTCTTTAATGACGACGACGAGGGTTTTTCCTTTTTGAAAAATATTCATTGAAATTTCTGAATCCGATTTTGGTGAATCGTCTTGTACTGCACGTATTCCTTTCCTATCAATCTCTTAGTTTCACATACAGCACTCTCACTGACAGTCCTAATTTTCTTATTCTTTTTTTTTATTTGTTTTGCCAAACAAACAATGCTTTTTCACATTGGGATCCCCCTTTTCCCTGTTTTTGGGTTCAGTTTTCTAACTAGTACGACCTCGTTTTAATAGAAGCTCTGGAAGGATATATATTTAACACAACTTCTGCGTAATTTGGGGTCGTACACACTTCTAGAGTTGAATCTGCTGTGTTTCCTTGTTTTAGTTGCTCTGCTATTGCTACTGCTCTGCTACCTCATCAATTCCTATCGAGTAACATTTCTTAATTATAGCACGTTTGCCTACGTTCGTATCTTTATACCATTTCCGATCCATAGGTTCGGAGAAAATCACTTTGAAAACCCTAGAAAAGGCGAATGAAACTGCTATGAAAAAGATTGTTACTCGAGGGTGACTATAGGAGAATCATTTAAAATTATTTTATAGGAGGCGTTCCATCAGCTCGTAAGGAAGTTATTCGCCACAAGATTCGAGCAATTGGTAAAATGGCACGCGCCTTTTCCGTGTTGAGGTAATTCTTTATTCAGCAAGTTAGCCGTGTTACTTAACCTTGTGACCCATAACTTAATATTATACGTCGTTTGACTTATATAGTGAATGCTAATCACGATTTCCTTTAATTGACGTAGTTTGAAGTGTTTTCTTAATTTCAGAGAAGAAAGTGAGAGTGTCTTGGCTCTCAAGGGTTTGACACCAACCGGAACATTGCCAATGGGAGCTCTTCAAGAAGGACGAAGGGGTGTTCGTGAAGGTAAAACTGTTCTGTTAAATAATCGTTTTGATAACATTGTCTATCACAAAGAGGGTGTTTTTCGAGCTTTGTAAATTAGTGTGCAGTTGAGCTACTGGATATATTCGTCCCGTGTCCTGACATTGTTTAAATTATCATCGAATGATTTGTTCTTACTCGCGTCTAACGATTGAGACCAACGCTTTTTACTGTTCTTACTTGCAAGTTATCTTTTGAAACTATCCTAGACATGAGAGCGAAACTGTTATACAGCTAAAAGGTCTAAATCCGGGAGGAAAATTACCTAAGGGAGTTCTTTCTGGAGGGAAACCAGCTTTAGTAGAAAGTAAGTGGTGTGAAAAATACAAAAACTGTTACATCTCCTGGCAATGTTATCAAAACGGAATTTAAAGAAGTTGTGTAGTTAATATAACAATTTTAGCTCTATCAGGTATCCAACCTGGACATCGAATTCAATCATTCGAGGAAGCCAAACGATTGGATCAAATGAACGAAAGAATGCCTCCAACCATGGCGACCCCCCCTGGACAGTCACCTTCTTCATCACCACAACCGAAGCGTAATGGTCCCGATTCCTAGAAGTGCGGAAAGCTTTACTGTCATTAGAAAATGATCATATATGCCCATTTTAACTTCGTACTTCCTTTGAATGACCCTCATGATCAAACATCCTCCGCTCGGCCATTCCTCTTTTCCTCAACAGTTTTAGTCTGAAATATCCCATGTCTCTCGTTAATGATAGAATGACTGTAGGCTCTCGTATTTATCACCACATGTAATTGGATGAAAAACAATGATGTTAAACATGTGATGATACGATCCTCTATGACTCTCATAGCTTGGTTGAAGCGCTCTCTGCATCGTGTTTACACCAGTCTGTTTCACTCGCTAGAGGATGTTCTATTCTTGTTTCCGGCATTCTCCTCATTCTTTTCTTTCTGATCATATGTTTCGACTCTTTTCTGATAATTTTCTTGCAAATGAAAAGATCAGCCTCCATGTCAAGACTTTTCATTGCTCTCTTATTACGCCAGCTTATCCGGTGTACGGCGATCAGAGACATCTTGCGTCGTTCAGTTTCGGTTCACAATTCATTTTTAGAATATATTCATCATCGCAATGTAATAGGATTCTTTTTCTGATGGATATAGCAAGTTCTTTTCCTAGAAGATGAAGAGCTGATTGCATTGTGATCATTTACTTTCCATCTACACATCTTGTATGTTTAATCCATTTGTTAAGATTATAACTATTATAATTTCTAACAATTTACTATTCTGTTTTCTTTCATGTAATTCCCCTATATTATGTTACAGTGGACTAGTCGCAATCTTATTGTGCTGTTTAATTTTTTAATTCTTTATACAAGCCTTTAGATTTACTATATATAGTAAGAATTTTGACAGTCAATTAGATGGCTTGTTTTGTTGCTTTCACAGAAACAACTTTTAATTTAATTTCTCTTTTGTAATATTGTGTAACACGGAACTTAAACAAACAACTTTGTTCTTTGAAATTGATGAGTTCTATCAGAAACTTTGTAAATCATTTTGACAAACTCTTTCTTTATGCTTGTAAAATTATTCAAACATAAAATCCGTTCCAAGATGTAAGTGATTTAGTCATTCAAGCTTCACAACGAAACACCCGCATGATTCGATCCAGAGTAACGAATGCCGTACATTTGTATGATGTCAGATATCCCAAACCATAGTGACGACACCGCAGTTAACCAATCTACAACTCCAACAACATCATCATATCATATCATAAATCGATTTAGAATAACACAATTGCCAGAAAAATAAGTAAATGCCAACAAACGCATCTTAATTTTGCAAACAAAAGAAGAAAAAGTTTTCTCATAATAATGCTTGTCGTACTTGATTTAGCTATCGTTTCAGTTATGTGATCAGTGCAACGGTAGTAGTGTTGTTAACTTGCACAATTCCTTCTTTCGTATCATTCTATAAATTTATTTCAAAAGTGTTTGGAAGGATAATTGGACTTTTATATTACAAGATTTCCTGTTTCCTCGGCGATATTTTGGATTGCAGAGCAATTTTGGGAGAAAATGTGATATTTATAGTTCTATTGTTTAAGCAGTAGAGAGGATTTCCAATCAATCTTATATAGGACTTCTCTGGATTTAAAGAAGGCAACCAGCAAATCTAGTTTTCTCTGAAGCATTACTTGAAAAATAAGTCCAATGAATAATCTACAAGAAATATTATAGTTGTACAATACCAAATGCTATAGTTTAATGAAATTTTCACAAAATGAATTATATACTCAGTGAGTATTGTGCTCGGTGAGTATCACTCACATGTGCGAGCTCGCTTGTTGGCCGATTATTAACATAGAATTTATTTTAAAAATTGATATGAGAATATCAGGGTTCGGAGTTTGGATGAGTTTTCTGGAAGGTTTATCCGTTCGTTTTTTTTCGTTTTCATTTACTTTCATCGTTATCGATTGGTTGTCATATCCTTATACTCCATTATCATCCCTTTCCCTCCGGTATTCCAACTTCTAGCTGCCTTGACTGTTATATTTTCTCTTTCTCTCAACACCGCGCACAATTTTTGAAAAGAGGAAAATGAAACTGCTCTTAACACCGTTTAGTACACGTGACATATGTAAAATGAACCGGCGTGATAC